TATATGTAGGTATGTGAAATGGCAGCCAGTACAAGGGCCAGTATTGCCAGCATTGTAAAGTCCTGGCTTGTATCTGCTTTCTCATTGTAATTGTGTCTTGAATAAATTGTCGTTGTTTCAACCAAATATTTTGTTAAGAAAACAAATGATACCTTGAAATATTGTATTCTTCATTTATTTCAACAAGGGAAAATTTAGATGAACCAAAAAGCAGCCGACACAAAAAAAGTGTTGTCAATTTAACTAACTTTATTCTACCTCCCATATAGACCATATTAGGACTCATTAGGAGGGTTCTAAAACAGAAATTAAATTCAAGGCCTTTTATTTAGGTAATAATTTCCATTTTTTTCCAAAACTTTGCCTCAGCTCATAAGTCTTATTCTTTATTGTAACTGTAAAGATCAGTCAAGCAAAAGTACAGATACCGAGTGACCATCATAGGGGAGTAATTTTAATGTTTGTAATTTTGAGTGCATCACTTGTACAATTTGTCCTACCCTATGTTAAACTCATATAGTCAACATTTGACATTTGTTTTTTCTTTTCATTCCAGATTTCTTATGGTTTTCAACTAAAACATGATAGAGGTTCAAAGACGTACCTACCTATTCGGAATCTTTTTGAAAAAATCTTAAATAAGAAAAAAACAGCATTGTCGGCCTCAGATGAGATGACCCAGTTACGGCGACATAACTAAAGGTAGGTTGCATTGAATTTTTAGTTGAGTTTAAACTTCCTAAATACCTGTTGTCGATTTAAACGAAATTTGGCCTTCTAAATTATTCTCTATTACATATTATATTATGTATGGAAATGTAATGTTCACGACCATTACTTTTTTCCTTCTAGATTCCATCCAACTCTATTTGCTACCTACTTTGCTGCCTCCAAAGGAAAGAACAAAAGTTCCAAATAGCAAAAAAACTTTTGAAGCCCTCAATGACAATAACATCAGAATCATGATTTTGTTGACGTCAAAAACCCTAATGGCCGTTTCCACCGACAATTTTAAGGGAGGCTTAACGATAAGTATAACTTAAAATGACATTTCTACATGTAAAAATGTCACTTTAAGGTATACTTATCGTTAAGCCTCCCTTAAAATTATCGGTGGAAACGGCCATAAGTGATGTAGAAAAAGTGAATAGCGCGAAAGTGAAAAAATTTCATTCTATTCTAAGTTTATTACCTGCTAATTTATTTTGTTATTTCAATATACTTAGATATTCTTTGATGTTCAAATGTTTGTGAAAATTAAATAAAGATTTTTTAGCAAATATGTTTTCTAGCTATTCAACAATCCCAAAATTACTCGGAAAAAACAAAGATTTATTTGAATCAGGCATTTCTTTAGTTCACTATTAACTACAGCATTTATTCATATTAACCAATTAGAAAAGGAAAGGTTACTAATTCATTGTTAAAACAACAATATGATAAGTTGTAAAAAGCGCATTACTTACTCGCATCAACTATATTATTTATTTGAGTGAACCAAGTGCGGTTCTAAATTACTGAATGAAGGTGTTATTTTGCACAAATATTTGTTTGATTCAAATATTTTTTTTTAAACAAGTCGAATAAATAGTCTTTTTTTCTCAAACAAATATTTGTTTGTCCATTATCAAACAAATATTTATTCGGATAAAATATATATTTTTTTAAATCAATGTTATTTTTTTTTCTGTGTAGGTACTCTATATACCAAACTGTGAATATACTATACTTACCCTTCTAGATGCAATATTCCTAGGGAACCTCGTCCTTTTTTTTCGTTTATTTTTAATTGTTCTTTGGCATGTTTTCGTAATTATTTGTTTATCCTTATTAGTTTTAGAACTTTTTTTGAACATTTTCTTACACGTTATTTCTTTTGAAATGCACGACAACACCTAGCAGAATAGTATTTAGATTTTATTATTTAAAAACTAATATAAAAGCCTCTGGGTCAGCTATTTGATATCATTTACGCCTCCCATATCGAATTTAAATCCAATTGGGAGGACAAATAATTATTACTACTAAGGCTCGGTTTATTCATATTCAGATAAACTTACTGGTAACTTTCTAGAAGATAAATTTACCGTTCTAATTCTATTGGACGGTGGATAACTGGCCAACCATTGATCAATGGGATTGGTGGATATATTCCCTTGTATTCATATGTATTCTGATGTATTATTGTGTATTTCCTATGTATTCCCTATGTATTCCTTTGTATTCTTTTATATTCCCCAGGGGCGGATGGGCCAGCAGGGATTTTGGGGAGTTTCCCGAAGGGTCGCTTACTTCCGGGCCGGTTCATGCATCTATGGAAAAATAAAATCCTTCATCTTTAAAAACTATTTTTCATCAAGAAATTCAGTCATACTCCAGTCATCGGTCGCAACGAACGCATCTATCCTCTGTTGCTTCTAGGCCCGGCTTTAATGTTAATCTAGGTGGCGCTCAGCGCCTGTACGTAGCTGTGGGAATCCCAATTCAGGTAGAGTCCATACCCAACTTAATGTTATGTTACTGATGAATATCCGTTAAAAGAGTAATAGATAATAGATACGAGATGGTCAGCTACCCAGACAGCAGACAAAGTCTTAAAGACGTCTTAAAGACGTCTGAAGACCAAAAAAAGAGGCCTCTAGAAAACGTTGTTTTGAAGATGCCCATAAGATGTAAATTCATATCTTAATGACAACTATTTGGTACAACCAAGTGAATAATGGTTTATGTATTGAAGAGAGAATCCAAGACGTCTTTAAGACATCTCGTTGAAGAAGTCTTCAAAATGTCTTAGTCCTAAAGGTAGATCTCTAAAAGACGCCGGGTTTTGTAACATTACGACGTTCAAAATGTCTTTGAGACGCCTTAAAGACCTAAGCAAGACGTCTTGAATGTCGTTTGTGGACATCTTTAAGATGTCTAGAAAAATTTCCCACAGAACTCGTTTCTCATTCAATTTAGAAGTTACTAGAAACCATTTAAAATGCTACAGAACACTTAAGAACTTTAAGAGGTGTTTTGGAAAGTTCAAAAGACTTAAAATTCAATTCAGAATTTCCAAAAGCATTCTGTAGCGCTTCAGAAAATTTCAGAAATTTCAGAACCATTCAAGAATGCCCCAAAACAGTTATTCAGTTCAGTTCAGAGTTATTTTAGAACAATTTGAAAGTTCTAAATTGAATCCTTATTTAGAACTGGAAACCTTTTAGAACTTTTCTGAACCAATGTAGAACACTTTAGAGCTTCAATAGGGCTCTAGAATACTTAAAAATCTGTCACAACAATTTAGAAATTACTGCAAACTTCTAGAATGCTTTAAAAAGATACTTGTTTGAGATTTTTTCTTCATAATTTCAATGTCAGTCGTGAGTACCTATTCTTATTACGTATCTCACTTCATTTACCATTAGATAAGTACCTACTTGAAAAACTTAGTTTCAAAAAAATACATAAAATGGTTTTAAAATACTAATCTGGCAGGCCCGGCCGGTGCCAACAGTTTCCTAGGCCGGTTTTATGCTCCCCATCCGCCTCTGATATTCCCTATGTATCCTTGTATTCCTCTGTCCTTCTAAAATATGGGATACTCACTTGGAGGAATGCATCAAATGAGGGTAATAATCAAAAAATCAATCAGGATACTGCCATAATTGAAGTCATATTGTGATACTGGCTCTCCCTTATCCCGTTTAAATTAATAGGGTGAGAGAAGTATATTTAGGTACAGTTGCGATCAAAAAAATGTAGTACAAGAAAAATCTCCAAAATCTCCTGGTCTATTATACATTAATTTAATTCATAACCAAAAATGTCATATTTTGGCATTTTTTGACAAGTTTTTAACCTAGAAAGCTTTAGATGACATTACTCTGACATTTTTCCACTCGTTTTTAACCTAGAATATGTCATTGCCTGAACCCAACATTTTTTGAAATCTTTGTTTACTGTCAAAATTTTGTAAACCGGGAGCTCAAATTGGGGTTGATCATTTTTGTACTACTTTTTTTTGATCACAACTGTACCTACCTACCTGTCTATCCAGAATTTTTAGGATATGTCTGCGGCAATGTGCCTAAATTCAGAGCCTGAATTCCGTTTCTGACTCCAGAAAGACATTCCGGCTGTGTGAGGTCCCGACCTGAAGCCTCTGAAATAAATTAGGCACTCAGAAAAATTGAAAAATTGATAAATCACCCCAATTGCTTAACACGATTTTATCTCAGGAACTATAAGTGCAAATGAGCTGAAATTTTCAGGGATTGTAGTCCTTTGAAAGGGATAAAATTCAGTGAAAGATTCAGCTTTCTATCTATAATAGAAAAAAAGTTATGACGTTTCAAAGTTTTCCGAAATCTAAATCATAAGGTAACTGTTATACCTTCTTACTAAAACACTACAAAATAGTTATTTATGTAACAAGTGTGTAAAGTAAACCTTATTTCACGAATGTAAATTTTGACGCACGAGCCGAAAGCGAGTGCGACAATCACGTGAGTGAAAAAAGGTGCTTTACGCACGTATTGCATAAAAAAAAATTCTACTACCAAACAAATACGTGTAAAAAAATAAATTTAAACAAATTCTTTACGCACTAGTGCGTAAAGTATTTTCACTTTACGCACTATAGTGCGTGAAGTAATTTACCAGAAAAATAGTAATTTGACAGGTCAACATCTGTCATTGACATTACTTCACGCACTAGTGTGTGAAGTGAACTACTTTACGCACTAGTGCGTGAAGAGGAATTTTACGTCTTCTGAATAGTGCGTAAAGTGAGTAGGTACTTTACGTACGGTAGTAGAAAAAATTATTTTGAGATTTAAAGCAGGAAAAAGCTTAGACATGTATTTTGAAGTTGAAAACTGTCAGTATGATATACCTATGTATGTGATGTGGGTGTAAATAAGGGGCATATCATGTAGGTAATAAATATGGTAACATGGAAAGGAGAACTTTACAGGTATGTGCATCTAATACTGTCTGTAGAAAAACTCAAAAATTTCGACTAAATTTTTATATTTAGGTATAAGATAATGCAACAAAAATATTCAAAAGTTAAATCTAAGAAGCAATTTTTTTTGAATTTGATTTCTAGTATAACTCATCATAAATAAACCTAACAGCATAATCATATAATTCCATAGACAACACAAAAAACTAGACGTAGGGTAATTAGGGTATGTACTGGGTGTCAAGTTATAAAGTACCACCACCAGTAACTTTTTTGTGTACAATCAGAAATAAAAAAGTTACAGGTGGTGGTACTTTATAACTTGACACCCAGTACCTAATACCTTAATCTTAATTATGAGAATACATAATATAATGAAGAAGAAAAATAAAAGCTTTTATTAGAAATAATAATTATCTAAGTGTAGGTATATTATTATAGTGACAACTGAATTCCACCACAAATTTCTAGGAAAATTATGCTAAATTTGTGATTCTTCAAAACAATAATTAAGCAAATTTTAGTTGTTTTCCGACATAACACTAATGAGATTTTCAATAGCAAGAGTCTCCTTCAAATAATGCTCGTCCTTGAGAAGCTCTCCACATTGTTGCAGGGTACTTAAAAGTTTTCCTTTTTGCAAGCGCATCTGGTCATTGGCAATTGTCAGTTTTTTCAACATGTCTTCGTTGATCTGAAAGAAATTATTGTCAATTATTTTCCAAAAATAACAATCTTGTAAACATACTTCTGTTTGTAATAGTGATGAAAAGTTCATTTTCACCCGTTGCTTGCCCATATCTTGGTAGAACACTGTAAACTCGTCATTTTTCAGTTTTATTTTGAAATAGACACCCGCAATAAGGTGGCCCTTTTGGTCTCTGGATAACAAACTCCTGAATGGATAAATAAGATTTCTTCTCTCTGTTACATCTACGGCAGTGAGGTAAGGCCTTTCAACATAAATAATTCCAGTAAAACCTTCTTGCTTGTCGTTTTTAGTAGTTCTTTCATCCCATTGAACAAAAGTACTTTTAACCGTACAAAATGAATAACAATATTCTTTATGAATATTGTTTTCTTCAGATTGGGTAAACCAACTTGTATGAGGATACGCTTTATCTGTCATAACAGTAACAACCCTAGCCACATGGTAGCCAGGATCGCACAATAGCACCCCACTTCTGCCTTTAATTTCAAATTTCAAGCACATCAGGCAATGCTCCTTTTCCAAAGTAGAAGGCATGGTGTCAAAAGTATCCCTCAAAGCTGTATACCCATCTACAGAATCAATATTTTCTTCACAGGATACTATACATAGATGGCTTTCGATGTTGGGGTAAGATTTTTTGAATTGTTGTAAGCGATGACGTAGTTCTAGTGCGAGGCCCACACATGTATGATGTTCAGATGTTATTTTTGGTGTGTATCTGCAATAATCTAACTTTGCAATAATTGTGTCGAATATGCCAATAATACTTACTTATGGAAGAACTCAATTGCACTCCTCATTTTACTGTTCTTAAAATGTTGGTACAACTCCAGGAAATTGCCGACTGTGTCGTAATTATGCTCCTCCAATAGCTTTTGTAGTTCCATTTCGATTTTGCCAGCCAGGACTTCATATTCTCTGATATTTTTAAACCTGAAATTTTCAATTACTGGACTAAGTTTTTGTCAGTTAGGTAGGTAGGTACTTACTTGTAAGGTTTTAAAGGTTCCGCAGCCCATCTGGGCAAAGGTAAAGGATGTGCCGGCGGCCAGTAACCGTGGATCTGGTCGTACTCGATGTTTGAGTGTTCGAAGCAAGCTGTAGCATGGCAAAAATCCGGATTATTTACTCCCTTGAGGGAGGTACTAGTTAACCCTAGGAGGGCTCGAGTTGGACCACAGCTTTCGGCTGTTTCGAGTCAGCTCGGCCATTCGCAGCCCCAGCGGCCCACTGTTGGAGATTCTGAGGCGCGCTCGATGACTTGGTCGTCAAGCTGAGGGCCACTGCGTTCATTTTTGAGACCCAGAGAAAATGCAGATGTGCAGGAGTCATGCTGCTCAGAGGATGATCCTGATCCGATGCTACTGCAAATTGATTGCAGTGTGCTAATTAACGGTTTTTCACGCTCTGTAAAAAAGAAAACGCTTAGGTACCTACTTACTTAATTATTGTTATTATCATTTTTACACTGGGTTCAATGTCTTACCAACCCAATGTTCAATGTATTTTTCGAGGGGTCAACCACTTCCTGAAATAATGTGTACACTTTTAGCTCGGATTACCTTCGAAATACCTGTAAGCAATAACACGAAAAATTAGGTACGAATTACCACCAAAATACTTTGAATTTTGGGAAATACTTGCGAAGTGGTTGACCCCACAGCAGTGTTGCCAATGACCCGATAATTATCGAATTCTACCATAATTTTGACTACGATTCAATAATCAATAATGACCTACCAATAATCTACCATAATTTATTGAAACTACAATTTTAATATAGATTTTTCAAATTTCTAGTTGAAAATTAATTGCTGTATGCAACATCCTCTTTAAACTTGAAAGCGCTTTTTAAAACTGGTACCTTTAAAAACTTGTATGGCTTAGAATACAGAATCTCAAAAGTGACCAGTTTTAAAAATCGCTTTTTTCTACAAACGTCACTAAAAGTCTCATTTTTAACGGATGCTGTCAGTGTCTAAAATGCCATTTTATGACACTGGTGTTAAAAGTGATTACTTTTAGCACTAGTGCTAAAAGTAATCACTTTTAGTGCGTTTGTAGAAAAAATAGTGTGTGATATTCGTGCTAAAAGTGATTTTATTTTGTTCAAACTTCCCTTTTCACAAACTAAAATGTCACTTTTAGCACTTATATCATAAATAACTATTAAGTTAAAAGAGGATGTTGCATACAGTTGTAAAAATTTATTACAAAATTGAAGGTTGTTGTTGGTTTTGAGTGTTTTGACGTACTGGTGCGAGCACCAAACACTAGTCCCAGATTGAGCCAAAGTTTCATGCCAATAACTTTACTGGTTTCCAAAATATTGCCCTTTGAAATATTTAAAAATCAAATTCCCATGCATACCCCTTTGGAAAAATTCGAATTTTTAAATTTTTGGATTTTGCAATGTTTGACTTTAACAATCAAAAGAGGAGATCAAAATTAGTGAAAAAGCTTTTTTGCAACTTTGTTTTTAGAATTTTAAAGCCTTGTGAAAAAAGAAAAACGATTTTTGCAATTTTTGGACTCAAAAAAGTTCAATAATCTGACATTATTTCACAAAGTTGCTGATTACTCGGTTATTATTGTAACAAATACAATGTAAAATTATATATTCTGAATCAGAATTAAATTATCTTCAAGATAAAATAAGATTCAATTCTATATCTTAAATACTTGTGAAGATATTGAGGCTCAAAGTTGAAACTTTACCTCAAATTTTGCAAAAGCTTCCAGGCGGATTATCTTGAAAACGAAGCCCTTGGGCTCGGAGTCTTAAATAACCTTTTTTGTATCCCTTATTAAGAGCTACAATTGGGCAAAAGATTCATGCCAATGCTTCACTGGTTTCCAAAATACAAGCATTTGAAGTATTTGAAAATCCAATTTCCATGCTTTGGAAAAGTTCGAATTTTTAAATTTTCAGTTTTTTGAATTTTTGACTTCACGAATCGAAAGAAGAGGTTAAAATTAGTAGAAAAGCATTTTCGCAACTTTCCTTTTTGGGTTTTAAAGCCTTGTTAAAAAATAAAAACGATTTTTGCAATTTTTGGGCTCAAAAAAATTCAATAATCTGACATTCTTTCACAAAGTTGCTGATTACTCGGTTATTATTGTAACAAATATGATCTAAAATTATATATTCTGAATCAGAATTAAATTATCTTCAAGATAAAATAAGATTCAATTCTATATCTTAAATACTTGTGAAGATATTGAGGCTCAAAATTGAAACTTTACCTCAAATTTTGCAAAAGCTTCCAGGCGGATTATTTTGAAAACGAAGCCCTTGGGCTCGGAGTCTTAAATAACTTTTTTTGTAGCCCTTATTAAGAGCTACAATTGGGCAAAAGATTCAGGCCAATAGCTTCACTGGTTTCCAAAATACAAGCATTTGAAGTATTTGAAAATCCAATTTCCATGCATACCCCTTTGGAAAAATTCGAATTTTTAAATTTTATGGATTTTGCAATTTTTGACTTTACCAATCGAAAGAAGAGGTTAGAATTAGTGAAAAAGCATTTTCGGAACTTTCCTTCTTGGGTTTTAAAGCCTCGTTAAAAAACAAAAACGATTTTTGCAATTTTTGGGCTCAAAAAAATTCAATAATCTGACATTCTTTCACAAAGTTGCTGATTACTCGGTTATTATTGAAACAAATATGATCTAAAATTATATATTCTTAATCAGAATTAAATTATCTTCAAGATAAAATAAGATTCAATTCTATATCTTAAATACTTGTGAAGATATTGAGGCTCAAAGTTGAAATTTTACCTCAAATTTTGCAAAAGCTTCCAGGCGGATTATTTTGAAAACGAAGCCCTTGGGCTCGGAGTCTTAAATAACTTTTTTTGTAGCCCTTATTAAGAGCTACAATTGGGCAAAAGATTCAGGCCAATAGCTTCACTGGTTTCCAAAATACAAGCATTTGAAGTATTTGAAAATCCAATTTCCATGCATACCCCTTTGGAAAAGTTCGAATTTTTAAATTTTCAGTTTTTTGAATTTTTGACTTCACCAATCGAAAGAAGAGGTTAAAATGAGTGAAAAAGCATTTTCGCAACTTTCCTTTTTGGGTTTTAAAGCCTTGTTAAAAAATAAAAACGATTTTTGCAATTTTTGGGCTCAAAAAAATTCAATAATCTGACATTCTTTCACAAAGTTGCTGATTACTCGATTATTATTGAAACAAATATGATCTAAAATTATATATTCTTAATCAGAATTAAATTATCTTCAAGATAAAATAAGATTTAATTCTATATCTTAAATACTTGTGAAGATATTGAGGCTCAAAGTTGAAACTTTACCTCAAATTTTGCAAAAGCTTCCAGGCGGATTATTTTGAAAACGAAGCCCTTGGGCTCGGAGTCTTAAATAAATTTTTTTGTAGCCCTTATTAAGAGCTACAATTGGGCAAAAGATTCAGGCCAATAGCTTCACTGGTTTCCAAAATACAAGCATTTGAAGTATTTGAAAATCCAATTTCCATGCATACCCCTTTGGAAAAGTTCGAATTTTTAAATTTTCAGTTTTTTGAATTTTTGACTTCACGAATCGAAAGAAGGGGTTAAAATTAGTAAAAAAGCATTTTCGCAACTTTCCTTTTTGGGTTTTAAAGCCTTGTTAAAAAATAAAAACGATTTTTGCAATTTTTGGGCTCAAAAAAATTCAATAATCTGACATTCTTTCACAAAGTTGCTGATTACTCGATTATTATTGTAATAAATATGATCTAAAATTATATATTCTGAATCAGAATTAAATTATCTTCAAGATAAAATAAGATTCAATTCTATATCTTAAATAATTGTGAAGATATTGAGGCTCAAAGTTGAAACTTTACCTCAAATTTTGCAAAAGCTTCCAGGAGGATTATCTTGAAAACGAAGCCCTTGGGCTCGGAGTCTTAAATAACCTTTTTTGTATCCCTTATTAAGAGCTACAATTGGGTAAAAGATTCATGCCAATAGCTTCACTGGTTTCCAAAATACAAGCATTTGAAGTATTTGAAAATCCAATTTCCATGCATACCCCTTTGGAAAAGTTCGAATTTTTAAATTTTCAGTTTTTTGAATTTTTGACTTCACGAATCGAAAGAAGGGGTTAAAATTAGTAAAAAAGCATTTTCGCAACTTTCCTTTTTGGGTTTTAAAGCCTTGTTAAAAAATAAAAACGATTTTTGCAATTTTTGGGCTCAAAAAAATTCAATAATCTGACATTCTTCCACAAAGTTGCTAATTACTCGGTTATTATTGTAACAAATATGATCTAAAATTATATATTCTGAATCAGAATTAAATTATCTTCAAGATAAAATAAGATTCAATTCTATATCTTAAATACTTGTGAAGATATTGAGGCTCAAAATTGAAACTTTACCTCAAATTTTGCAAAAGCTTCCAGGCGGATTATTTTGAAAACGAAGCCCTTGGGCTCGGAGTCTTAAATAACTTTTTTTGTAGCCCTTATTAAGAGCTACAATTGGGCAAAAGATTCAGGCCAATAGCTTCACTGGTTTCCAAAATACAAGCATTTGAAGTATTTGAAAATCCAATTTCCATGCATACCCCTTTGGAAAAGTTCGAATTTTTAAATTTTCAGTTTTTTGAATTTTTGACTTCACGAATCGAAAGAAGAGGTTAAAATTAGTAGAAAAGCATTTTCGCAACTTTCCTTTTTGGGTTTTAAAGCCTTGTTAAAAAATAAAAACGATTTTTGCAATTTTTGGGCTCAAAAAATTTCAATAATCTGACAATTCTTCCACAAAATTGTTGAGTACTAGGTTATTATTATAACAAATATGATGTAAAATTATATATTCTGAATCAGAATTAAATAATCTTCAAGATTAAATAAGATTCAATTCTATATCTTGAATACTTTTGAAGATATTGAGGCTGAAAGTTAAAACTTTGTCTCAAATTCTGCAAAAGCTTCAAAGCCGATTATCTTGAAAATGAAGTCCTTGGGCTCGTTGAATAACATTTTTTGAAGCTCTTATTGAGAGCTACAATTGCCAGGGTCCCAGCTAGAACCCCAAAAATGAAAATAGAGATAAAAAGTCAAAAAAGTTGACAGAAACTTTTTCTGATAATTTTTTTTTGGAATCTGATAATTTTGTTCTAAAATCCTGATAATTTTAAATTTGACATCCGACAACACTGCCCCTCAGTATTTTTATTTGTTAAGACCCTCTCACATGACAATGAAAACTTTTTTGTCTTGGTAAGTATAGAACATGGGTATTAATTACAAATATTATAAATACCAAATATATGTATATACAATGGTATAATGAATGATATTGCAGGAAGATCCTATCAAAAAGTTATGACATTCCTGGGATAACTTTAAAAACCAAACCAATTAAATAAAAACATCAATAAACCATCATCTAAACAAAGGTGAATCATAGCAGGTTTATTGATGATTGAATTATTGAATTGAATGTTCAAGGTGTTAGAAAATTGCCAAAGATTTACCAATAATAATTATAGAAAGCTTCGATATCACAATACCTAGTATTTTAAATTATAGATATAAAAGTATCATAATGCAGACTTTCGCCAGTCAATTTATTATCCACTTCAAACACCGATAATTTTTTTTAATAAGTATGAACTGAATTTCAAATATTGGATATTTGCGCGTTAAGTATAAAGAGATTATTTTTTGTTTGCCTGGGTACGTAAGCAGCTATAATTATAATATGGTAAATATTTGTTTAATAAAATAATAAAAATTGGCTTACCCATACAATAATCGCAACTGCAAACAAAGAATAGAATAACAAAAACTTTCGCTTCCTCTTCTACTTCTTTCCTAGTTATAGTTCTGTTTGGTTGGAACTAAACAAGTACTCTGTACTAAATTCTAGCTGGTATGCGTTGGCCTATAAACTACCTAAGTACGCCCCACCAAAACCGGTGACGTAGCTTTACCCCGGAGATATATTTTTGGAAAATCCGAACTTGGCGTCACTTTACACTTCACTGAAATTCAATCGAGAAATGTCTGCCCCTTTAAAAATTAATTGCACTTTTGTATTTAATATTTTTATTATTACACTCAGTCTGATAATGATAGCTAGACGCGGACAAATGTTTATAGGAGCACCAGTTGATTGAGAGGACTAGGCGCATTATGAACAACATCTGAAAATATTTAAAAAATAAATTATCAAAATAGGTAGGTATATAGAATTGCATCATATTTATTTATTTTGTGATTATTTCTATAGATACGATTTTATTACACATTGCGTAACATTTCCTAGAAAATTCTGCTGACAAAATATTTGGCCTTTGGCTATATGTAATTAGCTGACATTCTCATAAAAATAAATTTATTATTGCCATGAGTAATGGTCAGCCTTTTATAACTAATAAAATTAATCTATGAATGCAACCAACAAAGGAAACACCTTTGTTACCTATTTTTTTTGTTCAAAGATAAAAGTATTACACCATTTAGTCCAAAAGTCCAAATTCAGAAAACGTATAGGTAGGTACATATAGTCTAGTGATAAAAAGAAAATTTCTCACCTGCTCGAATTAAATACAGCAAAACATAGAAAGAAAAAACACACAAGACAAAGGAAATGTCTGAAAAGCTGTAATTCCAATCGATTCAGACGGAGTGTATTGTATAACTACTACGAACTACGACGTATGGATTGCTATGGGATCGCCCTTTTATCCTGGACTCTGGATCGATATGCCGACGTCTATTACGACCTCGACGGCTGGATTGTATTGGCCACGTGCTTGGAGAGGCAGTAATTATTTTGTTCCTAGAACCTATTCATATGAATAATTGCTTAACACACGTTTTTATCTCAGGAACTATAACTACAAAATAAATGAGCTGAAATTTTCAGGAATTGTGGTCCCTTTATTGAGTAAATTTCAGTGAAAATTTTAGCTTTCTATCTATAATAGAAAAAAAGTTATGCCCTTCCAATTAACATCCCCCAAACTCCATACACTAAATTATTCTCAGATTTGAAGCTGAAATCTATGAAAAAAGGTACTCAGAAATATTGAAAAATTGAAAAAACCACCCCAATTAACACGATTTTATCTCAGGAGCTATAAGTGCAAATGAGCTGAAATTTTCAGGGATTGTACTCCTTTGAAAAGGATAATTTTCAGTGAAAGATTCAGCTTTCTATCTACAATAGAAAAAAAGTTATGCCCTTCCAAAGTTTTCCAAAATCTAAATCATAAGGTAGCTACCTTCTTACTAAAACGATAAAATTTCAAATTTTTTTTTGTTGAAATTTTGTATCCTAACAGTCAATTAACTCCCCCAAACTCCATACACTAAATTATTCTCAGATTTGAAGCTGAAATCTATGAAAAAAGGCACTCAGAAATATTGAAATATTGAAAAAACCACCCCAATTGCTTAACACGATTTTATCTCAGGAACTATAAGTGCAAATGAGCTGAAATTTTCAGGGATTGTACTCCTTTGAAAAGGACAATTTTCAGTGAAAGATTCAGCTTTCTATCTATAATAGAAAAAAAGTTATGCCCTTCCACAGTTTTCCAAAATATAAATCATAAGGTAGCACCTTCTTACTAAAACGATAAAATTTCAAATTTTTTTTTGTTGAAATTTTGTATCCTAATGGTCAATTAACATCCCCCAAACTCCATACACTAAATTATTCTCAGATTTGAAGCTGAAATCTATGAAAAAAGGCACTCAGAAATATTGAAATATTGAAAAAACCACCCCAATTGCTTAACACGATTTTATCTCAGGAACTATAAGTGCAAATGAGCTGAAATGTTCAGGGATTGTACTCCTTTGAAAAGGATAATTTTCAGTGAAAGATTCAGCTTTCTATCTATAATAGAAAAAAAGTTATGACTTTTCAAAATTTTCCAAAAAAATCATAAGGGGGGTACCTTCTTACTAAAACGATGAAATTGCAATTTTTTTTTGTCGAGATTTTGTATCCTAATGGTCAAATAATATACCCCAGACTCCATACACTAAATTATTCTCAGATTTGAAGCCGAAATCTATGAAAAAAGACACTCAGAAAAATTGAAAAATTATTAAATCACCCCAAATTGCTTAACACGATTTTATCTCAGGAACTATAAGTGCAAATGAGCTGAAATTTTCAGGGATTGTACTCCTTTGAAAAGGATAATTTTCAGTGAAAGATTCAGCTTTCTATCTACAATAGAAAAAAAGTTATGCCCTTCCAAAGTTTTCCAAAATCTAAATCATAAGGTAGCTACCTTCTTACTAAAACGATAAAACTTCAAATTTTTTTTTGTTGAAATTTTGTATCCTAATGGTCAATTAACATCCCCCAAACTCCATACACTAAATTATTCTCAGATTTGAAGCTGAAATCTATGAAAAAAGGCACTCAGAAATATTGAAAAATTGAAAAAACCACCCCAATTGCTTAACACGATTTTATCTCAGGAACTATAAATGCAAATGAGCTGAAATTTTCAGGGATTGTACTCCTTTGAAAAGGATAATTTTCAGTGAAAGATTCAGCTTTCTATCTACAATAGAAAAAAAGTTATGCCCTTCCAAAGTTTTCCAAAATCTAAATCATAAGGTAGCTACCTTCTTACTAAAACGATAAAATTTCAAATTTTTTTTTGTTGAAATTTTGTATCCTAATGGTCAATTAACATCCCCTAAACTCCATACACTAAATTATTCTCAGATTTGAAGCTGAAATCTATGAAAAAAGGCACTCAGAAATATTGAAAAATTGAAAAAACCACCCCAATTGCTTAACACGATTTTATCTCAGGAACTATAAATGCAAATGAGCTGAAATTTTCAGGGATTGTACTCCTTTGAAAAGGATAATTTTCAGTGAAAGATTCAGCTTTCTATCTACAATAGAAAAAAAGTTATGCCCTTCCAAAGTTTTCCAAAATCTAAATCATAAGGTAGCTACCTTCTTACTAAAACGATAAAATTTCAAATTTTTTTTTGTTGAAATTTTGTATCCTAATGGTCAATTAACATCCCCCAAACTCCATACACTAAATTATTCTCAGATTTGAAGCTGAAATCTATGAAAAAAGGCACTCAGAAATATTAAAAAATTGAAAAAACCACCCCAATTGCTTAACACGATTTTATCTCAGGAACTATAAGTGCAAATGAGCTGAAATTTTCAGGGATTGTACTCCTTTGAAAAGGATAATTTTCAGTGAAAGATTCAGCTTTCTATCTACAATAGAAAAAAAGTTATGCCCTTCCAAAGTTTTCCAAAATCTAAATCATAAGGTAGCTACCTTCTTACTAAAACGATAAAATTTCAAATTTTTTTTTGTTGAAATTTTGTATCCTAATGGTCAATTAACATCCCCCAAACTCCATACACTAAATTATTCTCAGATTTGAAGCTGAAATCTATGAAAAAAGGCACTCAGAAATATTAAAAAATTGAAAAAACCACCCCAATTGCTTAACACGATTTTATCTCAGGAACTATAAGTGCAAATGAGCTGAAATTTTCAGGGATTGTACTCCTTTGAAAAGGATAATTTTCAGTGAAAGATTCAGCTTTCTATCTACAATAGAAAAAAAGTTATGCCCTTCCAAAGTTTTCCAAAATCTAAATCATAAGGTAGCTACCTTCTTACTAAAACGATAAAATTTCAAATTTTTTTTTGTTGAAATTTTGTATCCTAATGGTCAATTAACATCCCCCAAACTCCATACACTAAATTATTCTCAGATTTGAAGCTGAAATCTATGAAAAAAGGCACTCAGAAATATTAAAAAATTGAAAAAACCACCCCAATTGCTTAACACGATTTTATCTCAGGAACTATAAGTGCAAATGAGCTGAAATTTTCAGGGATTGTACTCCTTTGAAAAGGATAATTTTCAGTGAAAGATTCAGCTTTCTATCTACAATAGAAAAAAAGTTATGCCCTTCCAAAGTTTTCCAAAATCTAAATCATAAGGTAGCTACCTTCTTACTAAAACGATAAAATTTCAAATTTTTTTTTGTTGAAATTTTGTATCCTAATGGTCAATTAACATCCCCCAAACTCCATACACTAAATTATTCTCAGATTTGAAGCTGAAATCTATGAAAAAAGGCACTCAGAAATATTAAAAAATTGAAAAAACCACCCCAATTGCTTAACACGATTTTATCTCAGGAACTATAAGTGCAAATGAGCTGAAATTTTCAGGGATTGTACTCCTTTGAAAAGGATAATTTTCAGTGAAAGATTCAGCTTTCTATCTACAATAGAAAAAAAGTTATGCCCTTCCAAAGTTTTCCAAAATCTAAATCATAAGGTAGCTACCTTCTTACTAAAACGATAAAATTTCAAATTTTTTTTTGTTGAAATTTTGTATCCTAATGGTCAATTAACATCCCCCAAACTCCATACACTAAATTATTCTCAGATTTGAAGCTGAAATCTATGAAAAAAGGCACTCAGAAATATTGAAAAATTGAAAAAACCACCCCAATTGCTTAACACGATTTTATCTCAGGAACTATAAATGCAAATGAGCTGAAATTTTCAGGGATTGTACTCCTTTGAAAAGGATAATTTTCAGTGAAAGATTCAGCTTTCTATCTACAATAGAAAAAAAGTTATGCCCTTCCAAAGTTTTCCAAAATCTAAATCATAAGGTAGCTACCTTCTTACTAAAACGATAAAATTTCAAATTTTTTTTTGTTGAAATTTTGTATCCTAATGGTCAATTAACATCCCCCAAACTCCATACACTAAATTATTCTCAGATTTGAAGCTGAAATCTATGAAAAAAGGCACTCAGAAATATTAAAAAATTGAAAAAACCACCCCAATTGCTTAACACGATTTTATCTCAGGAACTATAAGTGCAAATGAGCTGAAATTTTCAGGGATTGTACTCCTTTGAAAAGGATAATTTTCAGTGAAAGATTCAGCTTTCTATCTACAATAGAAAAAAAGTTATGCCCTTCCAAAGTTTTCCAAAATCTAAATCATAAGGTAGCTACCTTCTTACTAAAACGATAAAATTTCAAATTTTTTTTTGTTGAAATTTTGTATCCTAATGGTCAATTAACATCCCCCAAACTCCATACACTAAATTATTCTCAGATTTGAAGCTGAAATCTATGAAAAAAGGCACTCAGAAATATTGAAAAATTGAAAAAACCTCCCCAATTGCTTAACACGATTTTATCTCAGGAACTATAAATGCAAATGAGCTGAAATTTTCAGGGATTGTACTCCTTTGAAAAGGATAATTTTCAGTGAAAGATTCAGCTTTCTATCTACAATAGAAAAAAAGTTATGCCCTTCCAAAGTTTTCCAAAATCTAAATCATAAGGTAGCTACCTTCTTACTAAAACGATAAAATTTCAAATTTTTTTTTGTTGAAATTTTGTATCCTAATGGTCAATTAACATCCCCCAAACTCCATACACTAAATTATTCTCAGATTTGAAGCTGAAATCTATGAAAAAAGGCACTCAGAAATATTGAAAAATTGAAAAAACCACCCTAATTGCTTAACACGATTTTATCTCAGGAAGTATAAGTGCAAATGAGCTGAAATTTTCAGGGATTGTACTCCTTTGAAAAGGATAATTTTCAGTGAAAGATTCAGCTTTCTATCTACAATAGAAAAAAAGTTATGCCCTTCCAAAGTTTTCCAAAATCTAAATCATAAGGTAGCTACCTTCTTACTAAAACGATGAAATTTCAAATTTTTTTTTGTTGAAATTTTGTATCCTAATAGTCAATTAACATCCCCCAAACTCCATACACTAAATTATTCTCAGATTTGAAGCTGAAATCTATGAAAAAAGGCACTTAGAAATATTGAAATATTGAAAAAACCACCCCAATTGCTTAACACGATTTTATCTCAGGAACTATAAGTGCAAATGAGCTGAAATTTTCAGGGATTGTAGTCCTTTGAAAAGGATAATTTTCAGTGAAAGATTCAGCTTTCTATCTACAATAGAAAAAAAGTTATGCCCTTCCAAAGTTTTCCAAAATCTAAATCATAAGGTAGCTACCTTCTTACTAAAACGATGAAATTTCAAATTTTTTTTTGTTGAAATTTTGTATCCTAATAGTCAATTAACATCCCCCAAACTCCATACACTAAATTATTCTCAGATTTGAAGCTGAAATCTATGAAAAAAGGCACTCAGAAATATTGAAATATTGAAAAAACCACCCCAATTGCTTAACACGATTTTATCTCAGGAACTATAAGTGCAAATGAGCTGAAATGTTCAGGGATTGTATTCCTTTGAAAAGGATAATTTTCAGTGAAAGATTCAGCTTTCTATCGATAATAGAAAAAAAGTTATGCCCTTTCAAAGTTTTCAAAAATCTAAATCATAAGGTTTTTTTTTGTTGAGATTTTGTATCCTAATGCAATTAATATTCCCCAAACTCCATACACTAAATTATTCTCAGATTTGAAGCTGAAATCCATGAAAAAACGCACTCAGAAAAATTGATATATCATCCCAAATTATTATTAAATATCCAGTTATATAATAGTCGTTTTATGGTTGTAAAACGAGGGGTGACGCATATTTAAACCTCGACCTACTCAATTACCCAAAAAAAAATATCAATAATCTTCTTGGTAATTTAGCTGAATTCAAAAACTGCTGTTACCTACAGGTATCTAATTGGATTCTCTATAATGAAGATCATAATAATTTATCATTATTACTCTGTTGTAGACGGGATCATTACTACTATCTAAAGTAGCAAGGAAACAATTTAAGTATAAGCCGAAATAGCTCAGTTGGGAGAGCGTTAGACTGAAGATCTAAAGGTCCCTGGTTCGATCCCTGGTTTCGGCAAAACTTTTTTTTGTCAGCTAAAATTTTGCAATTTAAAAACACATTGTCACCGAAATAAACACCATATGAATAAATTAACAGCACTGCTATAATTAGGCACCATTTGCGATGAATCATCACACTGATAAAATATTTTTATTTAACTACGCACTTATGGTTTGCAGAAATTAATCAGTCTTTATTGATATATAAAATTATACATGGGCTCAATGTTTTGGTCAGATTCATCTGTCACTTGGGGTGTCTCCTCAATTTTTGGTTCTAATAATTGTTGAGCAGCGCCTAATTCATCAGTAGTTAATTCCTCAATAAAATTTTCAGTGCATTGTTCATTTGTGAATTTCCTTATTACACCACCTTCTTCAATGTAATACTCTTCGATTATTTCTTGATCTCTATAATACTCTGCTTCTAGTTGTTCAGGTACATTCTCCAATGATCCTTCAATTACTTGATCTTCTGATGCGTTTTGAATTTTCAAATCCTCATTATAAGCAGGCAAATAATTTGTTTGATCTTCAGATTCTGGTTCATATTGATTTTTAACATCTTCATCAATTGGAGGAGTGAAATTATTTGCATCAATTAACACATCTAGCTCAATAACATTAAAACGATAGAAACCCCAAATCCAAAGCTAAAAAAAAATAATAATTGAAGTCTTATTTATCAAATTGAATAAATTCTTAAAATACCTGATTTTCCATACATTTGATGTAGCCCAAAATTTTCATATAGAAATCGTCAATATTTCTTTTTGGATCGTTTTCCCAATAAATCCAGCCCTTAAGGATCATTTTTTTTTGGGTACTACTCACATCTTTGAACAAATTAGTTTGGGAAGAAGAGGCAAAAGTTTCTCGTACATGTTTCTCCAAATCTAACAGTTTTTCTATTATTGTAAGTATGGAAGGCGCTGGCAGTGTTCTAGCACCTTTAGGTTTTGATAGCATGATGAGATCACGCAGTTTTTTGAAAGGGGCTATAACGTTTTCATCTATACGACTATTCAACCTAGAAGACGCAAATATATTGAATACTCATTAGTTGGTGTAATGATAATTTACCTGTATACACAAAATAGCGCCGGAGTAACTTTCTTAATCCACTCCTCATAGATTTGCTCAAACAAATCTTTAGTTAAATGTTGTAAATCCAACTGTGCCGCTTGCTTTTCAACATTTTTAAGTCCATCCAAAATATCCTCCTCAGGTAGAAGGGGCAACATTATAATCTTATTGTAAATCATACGCAGATTCGTGTTTACTTCCAACTCTCTGGCCAAATTGAGTGAACATAGTCTTTTGTATATGTTTTGAGTAAAGTAGAAAATTGATCCGCCAATGCTCGATTCCATATAAGTATACCCAAGGGCATAATATAAATTGGCTTCATAATCAGTTACAATTTCTGCAGGTCTCAATTTGGGAGCCATATCGTTGTAAAGGAGAGTGAAAATTTTGTTGTAGATTTCTAGTGATCTCATGTTGATGATGGCGTAGAAAATTGGATAAAACTACGACAAATCATAGGAATTATGTTGAAAATGATGGCAGAATAGAACGTAATAAATTAAAATTAGAAAAAATTGTTTTAAGTAAGTTGTTAGTTTTAATAATACTACTTATGTATGTTACTTGAAAATATTGTAACAAAATTAAAAGGAATTTACGTGCGCTTCCGCCAGAAGATACAGAATTCTAGATTTTTACAGTGCTCTTCGGGAGAAAGGTCTATCGCGTTTATGTTTATTCTGGATTTTTCAAGAATAAATATATAGATATACAGGGTGGATGGCGTATTAGACGTTTATGGAGAACTAAAAAGCGGATCATTTTGAAAATTTGGCAACCGGGATAAACGATCATGATCTACACTTTAAAAATATTTTTGACCATGCGGTGTTGCCGCTTCTACTCTAAACTAGTGACAGCATCGCTAGTTAGGTACTTTCTTACTAAAACGATGAAATTTCAAATTTTTTTTTGTCGAGATTTTGTATCCTAATGATCAATCAACATACCCCAAACTCCATACACTGAATTATTCTCAGATTTGAAGCCGAAATCTATGAAAAAAGACAATCAGAAAAATTGAAAAATTGATAAATCACCCCAAATTGCTTAACACGATTTTATCTCAGGAACTATAAGTGCAAATGAGTTGAAATTTTCAGGGATTGAAGTCCTTGGAAAGGGATAAAATTCAGTGAAAGTTTCAGCTTTCTATCTATAATAGAAAAAAAGTTATGACCTTTCAAAGTTTCAAAGTTTTCAAAAATCTAAATCATAAGGTAGGTACCTTCTTACTAAAACAATGAAATTTAAAATTTTTTTTTTTGTCGAGATTTTGTATCCTAATGATCAATCAACATACCCCAAACTCCATACACTGAATTATTCTCAGATTTGAAGCCGAAATCTATGAAAAAAAGCACTCAGAAAAATTGAAAAATTGATAAATCACGCCAAATTGCTTAACACGATTTTATCTCAGGAACTATAAGTGCAAGAGAGCTGAAATTTTCAGGGATTGTAGTCCTTTAAAAGAGATAAAATTCAATGAAAGTTTCAGCTTTCTATCTATAATAGAAAAAAAGTTATGACCTTTTAAAGTTTTCCAAAATCTAAAACATAAGGTAGGTACCTTCTTACTAAAATACAATGATACGTGACTTTAAAATATTGTAACGGAATTCACGTGCGCCTCCGCCAGAAGATACAGAATTGGTTAGCAGAATTCTAATTTTACAGTGCTCTTCGGGAAAAAGGTCTATAACATTTATTCTGGGATTTTGCAAGAATAGATATATAGATATATAAAGGTCAGTATTAGTTGGTAGTTTTTAAGTATGAGATTGACTGTAATACGAGTGAATTTTGTAAGAGTTGTAAAGAGTTAATTAGTGAAGTAATTAGTGTCAGAGTGTGTAGTTACGTGGAATAAATTCTTGTTGTGTTAATTGGACTTTGTTTTTGGAAACAAACGAACCCAAGATTTTTATCATGCACCCCAGAGCCGTGTCAATATTATTCAATCTGGTGAACTTTATATTGTTTAAAGCAAATATGCAGTTTAAACTAAGTAACTTACAGTATCATTTATCCATAGCAGCACTGTGACCAACTGATAAGCAAAATCTTGTGAGTCAATCACAAATGAAGAATCTACATACATAAGATTACTGTGAGAAAAGTCATTAATCACATTAAGATTTCCAAAAATCACCGCTTTACCTCCATCTTCAGATTCACATTTCGTCTATAAATGTTAACAAAACATAAAACAAATAACAACCAGGAAAAATTGAATAGCTACCTGATAAAACTGTACATGATTACTAGTAAAATGAATCCTGAAGAATTCATCGTTTTCAATAAACGTATAAAAATCATTGAAGCATCTTAGTAATGGTGGAAGAGGTGTAGGTGCTTGTTTGCATATGGTATTAACCACTTGCCTTAAAGGCAGGATTTGAGAAATATTTTTATCCCTAAAAATAAATGAAATTAAACAATAAACTCCAAATTACAGATTAAATTTGCTTACAACTCACAAGTCCTTTCATAAAACAAGTGGAAATTAAAATTTTTGTCACTCTGCATTTTAGAATTCAAAATATGGAAAAACATTTGCTTTTTTCTCTCCATACCAGTGGGTATGTTGTGATTATGTGCTGCTACTACTTCAATGTTTGGATCAAATTTGTTAGAATGTATTAGGCGTTGACGTGCGATTCCTGGACATTTGTTAACTATACACTTGAGTCTTCTCATATTATTCTTCATTAATCTCACGTCATACAAATAGCCAGCTGCTAATATATATTTAGAATCGAAAATGTATTGAATTCTTTCTGATTTGAATGTTCCTAAAGTTGACTTATAAGGCTTTTTTACTTCTAGTTTAATGCAACTTGGTAAGGTAAGTGTTTCATTTTTTAGTGTGTGCTTTTTCACACCAATGCTATTATCATCACTCCTTTTACGTTTAATAGATTTTGAATTATTAGAATTGGGTAATTTTGAGGTAGTTGGTTCATTGATTTCTTCTTCTGCAACCATTTCTATTATAATATTTTCAACAAATTCTTCCGAGTCTGTTTTTGGAAATTCTTCATCATTATTTGAAAATTCAGTTTCGTCTGCCATTTCAATGCTGTCAATTTTCTTATTCAGAGATTTACTTGGTGTGGGCTCAATATTATTAGCTTTATTAATTTTTGTTGGTTCATTATCTTCCTTGCCTTCTAAAACTTTTAGTAAATCGTCTTTATCCTTATCATATTTATCTTTGGGTGCTGTACTTTTATCTTCATCTAATTGACCATTTACAACTTTTTGTCCATTATTACTTTGTTCTTTAGCATCCTGCTCATAATCTGATAACCTTTCTTCATGTAAATATTCTTCCTCTGATGAATAGGCACTATTTGTACTATCTTCATCACTAAATTTTTCAATAAGATTACATTGTATAGCATCCATTTCTATGCACATTTCATAAAAATCATAATATTCTTTGAGGAATTGGAGGCAATTTGTGCAAATCTTTTTTGAGTGTTTGTCATTAGGCAACACCTGAAATGTATTTTTTATATTATTTTTTTTTTAAATTGAATTAAATTCTACCTTCAGTGGGTATAAGCAAATACCTATAACTTCTGCTATTGTACGTGTTCCATCAATTTTACTTGAAACATTTTCTGTGACCTGTGACGATTCTACCATACACAATCTGCACATTTGTTCAAACTTGGGAAAAGCTACAAATAAAATAAATGAAACAGAGGTTTGTCTTTTGAGAACCTTTCAACAAACCTTCGGAATTTTGTAATTGTGTTGGTTTTTTTAAATCTTGTCCCTCAGATTTTGTTGTCACCAATTTTGGAGCTACATGCAAAATATTACAAATTTTATTCAATAATGTAAAAGGTGTTTTTTTTTTTTTAATTTATACCAAGGGATGTTTCACCAACTAAATTTTGTACACCTACTGTAGTTGACTGCATTGATTCTATCAAAGATGATATTTGACTGCATTGACTTTGAGCAATATCTAAGAAGATTTCAGACTCCACTCGCAGTGACTGCTAAGAATTTTTCGCGAGTGTATATGGAATGTACACTACTGCATGTGACTGCAAGGAATTTATAATGACTGTATTATGACTGCATGATAATGTATGGACTGCAGAAGAATTTATGGACTGCATATACATGAATATATGATATTTGTATACCTACTGCATGAGTAAAACACCCCTCAATTTATACTCTTACCTTGAACTGGGTTAGATTTGGGAGCAAATGTCTCTTCAACTTTTTCTATGTCTGAACTCTTTCTTGTTTTAAAGGCTTGCAATTGAAGCTGACCTATTAAATATTGAAATATTTAAAATCCTACTTTAGGAAGGAATGTTACTTTTCTAAGCTTACCGTTAGGTTGAAAATGGTCCAAGCAGATAAAACTCCTGGGATTTGGACTCGTGTGTTCTAGGCCTAAGATTCTGAGCCATTTTAGCTTGAGTTCGTCATTTTTGGGGAAAAGTACTCCGGCTGTGGCAGAACAGTCCGGCACAAAACACGTTTTACTCATTATCAATTAATCAAATTACTATTGGAGTTTACTTTTAAAGTACTTCAGTACTTGATGATCTTAGAAACAACACTCTTATTACCACCTCGAAATCCCACAACTTGTTAATTATTAATAGTTCTGTATCATTATTTTTTTTTTCAAATCTTGATTTGTTTGAAAACATAAAACAAAAAAAAAACCTTTCTGTATCAAAGTTAGGTTAAAGAAAGACATATCATTTGGGCTGGACTCTGTCAACTGTATGTTGGTAATCAAAGCTGTAGGCTGTAGGTTGTAGGGTGGGCTGTAGGCTTAGGCAAGCAGCTGTAGAACTTGAACTGGCGCCATTTTGTGGTGAATGAAGTTTTCGGAAATGACGTTGGCGTCTTAGGAAATGACAGAGACAGATTTCAAATATCAATTTCATTAATCATCCACTGTAGATAATCCCCTCCCAATGAACTATAACCAAAAACTGGAATGCTAAACACATAAGGACGAACTTGAAGCCTAGTGCAGCTGCTGCGGAGGGGATACCTGTTTTTGTCGCACTCATTATGTTAAATGGCGAAAATTGCTTCCAACACGTATTCCAATTTATGAAACCTGTGAAGGGAAATATGACAAAACTTTCGAAAACGTCATATGTCAGCGAGCAACAGAAAAAAACAACATTCCCCCTTGTGGCATCTGTCTTTCATGGCTTCATTTTTTTGGCAGATATGGCAATGTGTGCGCATTCCGTTTTTAGCTATAGTTCATTGGACAATCCATTCAATATGGCGTGGCGGCCAAGCAAGTTTATTTTGAATATGTTTTTATGCGTATTTTAAATCATTTTGCTAGAGTATTGCTGACAACTTTGATTTTCATTATTCAATAATAGTACATTATATACCTAGGTAGAGAAGTTGGTCATTAATATACACCGAGCGCTTTTATAAACCGAGGTTTATAATGCGTAAGGTATATAATGACTTTCTCTACCGAGGGATACATAGATTTTTTTTTACTACTGCTAGTAGAAAATAAAAAATAGGTTTGAAACCTGTGCTCAAATTATTTTCTCTTGTCGGAAGTGCTGCCCTCTATCAACAGCTTGCGGTAATTTCCTATCATGTATATACCTACATACAGGAACCTGCTTTTTTAAAATTGACAGTTTGACACTGAAATTAAACCAATAGAAACCTGTTACGTTATGACAATATCCTTGCGTTATGACGTCATTTTCATTATTGACCTAGGTATTTTTTCATTATTCCCATTATTAACCTAGGGAGAGAAATTCAATTTTTTCCTAGAAAAATTAATGGAATAATGACTTCTTCTCAGGTTAGTAGTAAAAAAACTACTTTACGCACTGGTGCGTGACATTTTATGTCTTCTAAAAGGTGCGTAACGTAATAAGTACTTTACGCGCGGTAGTGGAAAAAAACAATTATTGCGCCTTCACTTACAGTCGTGAATGAGATGTTGTACCCATACTTACAGGCCCCGCAACATAAGGTGGCGAGAGCTGGCGCAGGTAAGCGTAGCGGTGGGTCCCTTTTCTTGGCCCAGGCAAAGCTAAAATACAAACCTTTTCCATTATTCCATTATCAGGGGCGTCGCTAATTGGTATGATATTGACATTACAAATAAATTATCATATTGTACAGGGTATTTGTTTATAACTGAAACACTCAGTAACTTTTTTATTATTGAAAATAAAGGGCACGTTTAAATTGGAAAATTTCTTGGTAAATTGCAACGATCTTAATCGCTGCAACGATATTTTTTTTGTCGCCATAGGTATACAGGGTGCGCCAAAAAATTCATTTTTTTTTAATGGAACGCCCTGTATATTTTTGCATTTTCAAAATTCTTAGAAAATTAGCTTCACAAAAATATCAATCACTATTTGGATAACAAAAATATACGAGGGCGTTCCATTTAAATAAATACCTTTTTGGCACACCCTGTATACCTATGACAAAAAAATATCGTTGTATCGCTTAAGGTTGCAATTTACCAAGAAATTTTCCAACTTAAACGAGCCCTTTATTTTAAATACTAAAAAAGTTACTGAGTATTCCAGTTATAAACAAACACCCAGTACCTACCTACATGCCACTGTTCCCTATCCGTTTACCGAGGGTAGGGTTTACAGTTCAGTTTACGCCCCTACCATTTCCGAATTTTGTCTACTGCGCAAATTGCTTTTTCGCCACCTTATTTTGCGAGACCTGTATACGGGGTGGTCCATTTAAATTGAGATTGCGACATTTGAATATCTCGAAAATGGCGCGTTTTTGGAAAAAAAAAGTTCAATAATGTCTCAAGTTCAATGGCCCACCCTGTATATTTATTGTATATCGTGTGCTAGAAACTTAAATTTACCGCAATTTTTCATTGAATATGAAAATTTTGCGACTAAATAAAAGAAAAAGTAAAATCTGTTTTTTTTTTTAAAGATAATTCCCCAAGTCAAAAATTTAGCAACTATGTTGGCAACACAAGCCTTCTCCAAATAAAAAATTTGAAAGCCTCGACAATTTAACATTGTTTTGCCAACATAATGGCTACGTTCACCAGAACCAAAACGGATTGTAAACAGTTTACAAATACCAACAGAATATGTTGGGTAAACTCTGGATTCTGCTGAACGATTCAACTTTTCAATGATAGAACGTCACTTTCTTGAATGACAGGTCACCACACAAAACACAGTGTTGAAAATTATAAACACTCTGAAATTATGTTTGCAAAAATGGCGACCGTTTGCAAAACATGTTTGGTTTCAACACATATTCAACGTAGCGTTCAGCAGAACAATCGCAAACCGTTTATCAACGTTTGTATCTGGTGAACGCGGCCAATGTCATTTTGACTTTTATCTTAAAAAAAAAACAGACTTTGAAAATTCCGCTTCTACCCTGCTTTGCGAACGAAAATAGAAAATTTCCTCAAAAAGGCAAGAAGGGGATAATTCCGTCAAGCTGGCAACACTGTGGCTGACTCGTTATCAAACGCCAGAATATCAACAAAGCATTTGATACGTTGGATATAAGCCCCGCCCCTTTCCAATCAGATGCGAGTGATATCAGCAGGGCATTTAATTGATTAGTTGAGCCCTGCCCCTTTCCGGGGTTTATGTATCGTCAAGATATTTGATTGGTTGTTTCCTTTTCAACCCTTTTCAATGGCCCCGGCCCACCTACAGTGACCTAACCTTTTCAAATAGAAATTCGGTACCGCCGCCATATTCTTGCAAATTTTGAATATTAATATAAAAGTTAGCCACGCCCCTGCCGCCATATTTTTGCAAATTTTTTGATTTTTACTCAGGTATTATTATTAATATTATTATTATCTATAAGTATGTATATACCTACATATTTATTTATTCTTTATTTTTCAATTTTTCCATCTCATATTTTGTCTATTCCCGGATCTTGAATTTTCGTTTTCTTCTTAATTTTTCTAATGGCCATTTCCACTCAATTTCCACTAACTATTTTAGGGAAGCCGTAACAATCACTGGTAACGGTAACAATAGGTATGCCTTAAGCCTAATACTCATAACTGCGGAATTCGGATTTTTTTGACATTGCTTCGACAATTTGACGTTTGATACACGCATAAAACGTCAAATTTTCAACGCAATGTCAAAAAAATGCGAATTTCGCAGTTATGAGTACTAGGCTTTAAACTGACATTTCTCCATGTAAAAATGTCATTTTAGGGAATACTTATCGTTAGGGCTCCCCCTAATTTAGTTGAGGTTTATAATGTGTGATGCGTGACTCGTGAGGTATATAATGACTTTCTCTACCGAGGAATATATAGATTTTTTTTTACTACTGCTAGTGGAAAATGAATAATTTGTAATCTGTGCTCTAATTATTTTTTTTGAACGTCCTCTTGAAAGTGGTGTCCTCTATCAACAGCTTATGATAACTTCGTATGTACCTACAGAAACCTGTTTTTTTTTATTTGAAGTATGAAATTGAAATTGAACCAATAAAAACATGACAATATCCTTGCGTCATGACGTCATTTTCATTATTAACCTTGGTATTTTTTCATTATTTTCATTATTAACCTAGGGAGAGAAATTCAATTTTTTCCTAGAAAAATAGATTGAATAATGACTATTTCTCAGGTTAGTAGTAAAAAAATATTTTTGTTGACTAGGTACCTAAACTACTCGCTAAACTATTAAGGGCGTCAAAGCAGTTTTATAATACCCACCCTAAATCGGGCAGAAACTAGATATTTTTTTGTGTTTTTTGGCCCATGTGTGGCCGCCACGCCATCTTGAGTGTCACGTGATTTGGATTGCCTAATTGGTAGAATTAGGGCGGGTATTATAAAACTACTTTGAGAGTTAACTTAAAGTTAACTTCTGGAATTACATTGGTGCGTACGATTTGTCTGAACCTGTTAGCGTTAGTGCGGTGCAGTTATGTTTTGGAACGCAACCATCTAAACTACACCGGAAAATGGAATGTTGAACGGTACGAATGGTGTTAAAAGTGCGACATTAATGACGGGTCAGGGTAAAAAGTGTCAGTAGTACGCACCACATGTAATTATTCAAAAAGTTAACTTTAAGTTAACTGTCAAAGCAGTTTTATAATACGCGCCCTTAGTGCAAAAAACATATATTTCCGTCACTTTCTTTTACATGTTAGTAGAAAGGGACATGAATATGAATACCTATTGAAATTCACTTCATCACTTCAGAGAACGAATTTTGTAGTATCATGGCGGCACATATTTGAATTTTTGTCTCGTCTTGAAGAAAATTGGAAAAAATCCAACGACAGAATCATCTTTTTTTGTCAGAAAAAACTTTTTTTTGGACGAAAATTCTTCAAAACATGTTATTTCACAATGCCGGGACATGTAAAAATATAGCCGTCTTTTTCTAGTATATAGAGATTGTAAAAGAGGGAGGAACTAGAGGAAGGAAGTGGTCTGGCAACACTGCGCGATACGCGTCTTGTTGTTTCCTAATCCTAATTTCCTAACCTAAAAATTTTCATTGTGTTTGTTTTTGTAGTTTATTAATTATTAAATTATTATTGAAAATAAACGATTATAATCAACGCAATGCCCTTGCCTGCCGCCCTAGCAGCAAAACTAGCGAAAAGGGGCCTAATAACTTGTAAGTACATCTTCATAATAGAATAGACTGAATTTATTCTAGGTATTTTCAATCATAGCTAATAGGCCGAAATCATCCAGAGAACCAGTCAAAAAACTAGACTACAAAGGCTTGTCCGTGTGCCCCAATAAAAGCAACGTGTTTCACGAGTGCAACCAGTGGTGTGACGCTCATTGGAAAGGGGTAGCCACTCCGGATCCAAAATACCTCCGTAACATGCAAAAATTACTTGCCAAGTATCCTTTGGCATTGAACTGGACGGAAATATTTGATAAAGGAGTGTGAGTGTACCTACTCACTTTACTTGATTGTATTAGGCCTAAACTCTTTTTATTTTAGTGGAAGATATTACTACTGGAACATGGAAACTGACTTAGTTTCATGGCTGCCACCAAAACATCCCAAAGCCATTCTAACAAAGAGTGCTGCAAAACTCAGAGAATGGAAAGCCCAAGATCAAAGAGACAAGAGAATAAGAGAAGAATCAATCAAAATGCAAAAATCAGATAGAGATCAAGACAGAGATTCTGATGATCCTGAAAGAAACTCTAGATCTAAACATTCTGATAGGCGAGATCACAGGGATAGAGACAGAAGAAATAAAAGGGACAGAGAGGATAGGGACCGGTACAGGCGCGACAGAGACAAACGTAAAAGGGAAGACAATCTGTTAGACCCCATGGACCCTGCTGCTTATTCAGATATTCCTCAAGGAACTTGGAGTGATGGTTTAGACACAAATAAAAGTAGAGCGGATAATACTGCTTCAGGGGTGCTGTTTCAACAGAGACCGTATCCAGCCCCAGGAGCCGTTCTGGCAGCTAATAAAGAAAAAGATGATAAGGAGAAAAAGAAATAGTCTTGATACCTACATTTTTGTAATTTTAATTAATCAAGTTAAAATAATAAATTGTGCTTGGTATATTCGGCTCCTGTCACTTTTGTTTTTTACTTTATTATCTAGGACTCAAAAGACAATAGAGCCATAATTCTCATCATGATTGAATGATCATTTGGAATGTATAATTGGATTGTATAATACTGGAGACATGTGTTGATATTGAATAGGTTTTCATATTTTTCTGTGTAGTGTCCTGGCATATGAATTTATACAGGGTTATTGGTAATTCGATACATTCCTCCTTACCTCATCTCCTATCACATCTCCAAAGGAATGTATCGAATTACCATTAACCCTGTATAATAATGAATGTCATTATTAATAAAATAGGTAATTAAAAATTTGACATTTTCACTTTCTTGAATTACCTACATTTTTTTCATCATCAAAAACGAAAAATTCCAGTGCCAAATGCCAGAACTTCATGATAACCAGGAAGAAAAACTGAAAAATATTTATAAAAGTATTTTTGTACCCCACTATAACAATAAATAAATGATTCACTTTTTAGAGACTCAGCGTGGATGGCCCAGACTGTGTTTAGCTGGCAAATTACAATCTCCTATTGAACTGACCAACAAATTCGCCTATCACGTGCCTTTCCCTGCAATTACCTTGAAAAACTTTCATAAAATTGAAAAATTTCAAATTTTCAATCCATCCGATACCAGTGAGTAGGTACAGAAACACGCTTTAATAAAAATACTCAAAGAATACATTCTTTTTTTAGTTGTTATTAAATTACCGAATGTATGCTACTGTAAAAGACCCAAATTATCAGGAGCATGTTTAAACAAAGAATTTACATTGGAAAATATTCATTTTCATTGGCCATCGGAACACGTTATTGATGGAATAAGATACGACTTTGAAACACACTTTGTGTTTTTTGATGGTAGATTTGGAAGTTTTCAAAGTGCTTTAGGACGTCCGAATGGTATCACTGTAATGGCGATTTTGTTTATGGTAAAAATCAGAATAATAAAAACATAATGATAAATTAAAAAATGTATTTCAGAAAACCAATTTTACCCGAAGTAATAATTTCAAAACATTAGCCAATGCTGCTAAATTGGTTTCTAAAGCCGGCCGATCCTCTGTGTGTGATAAACCAATAGATCTTTATCAATTTTTGCCCTATGATCATACTACATTTTATTGCTATCAAGGGTCATTATCCACTCCAGGCTGTTTTGAGCATGTAAATTGGATTGTTTTTAAGAACACATCAAATATTTCAATTTGGGATGTAAGTCGCATAAGAATAACATGTATTGTAAGAGTTATTGAATTGTTTTTCATTTTTAGTTCAAAAATTTGACCACAATATACAGCAGAATAGGACAACTAATTGGTAGCAATAATAGACAACTTCAAAAGCTTAACGATAGGATAGTATCAATTAGGGACGTTGTATAATTATTGGTTCTTAACAATCAAATAAAACTACTAAGTAAATGAAATTTTTTCTATGTTGAGATTTTGTGTTTAAATAATCAGTTGGGATCCTCCATGCACTAAATTGTTTTGAGATTTGAAGCCAAAATCTATGAAAAAAGGACATCAGGAAAATTGGAAAATCGAAGAACTATAAGTCCAAATGAGCTAAATTTTTCAGGGATTGTAGTCCTCTAGTGGGAGAAGAATCGCTGAAAATTTCGGCGTTGTATCTTGAATAGAAAAAAGTTATGACCTTTCAAAGTTTTCCAAAATCTAAATCATAAGGTAGCTACCTCAGTACTAAAATGATGAAAATTCATTTTTTTTTGTTGAGATGGTTCTTTGGAATCCCTCAATCTCCATACACTAAATTATTCTAAATTTTGGAGCCGGAATCTATGAAAAAAGGCCCTCAGAAAAATTGACAAACTGATGAATCACCCCAAATTGCTCAACACGATTTTATTTCTGGAACTATAAGTCCAAATGAGCTGAAATTTTCATGGATTGTAGTCCTCTACTGGGATAAGAATCGCTGAAAATTTTAGCTTTCTATCTATAATAAAATAAAGTCTGTTTTTTTTTTAAAGATAATTCCCCAAGTCAAAAATTTAGTAACTATGTTGGCAACACAAGCTAAAAAATTTCAAAGCATTGACAATTTTACATTGTGTTGCCAACATAATGTCATTTTGACTTTTATCTTTAAAAAAACAGTGTGGATAATGTTACGGAACTTCCGGTCGAATATATTTTTTTTTATTAACCCGGAATTTCCGAATTATTAATTTATTATTATTCGTCCGGAAAATAATCCACCATGTACCCCTGCAATAACACAATCATTACTCCCCATCCCCCCAGGCCCCATTGTGCTGACGCTGGCGCCGCGCCGCCAATTTCGAATTTATACACGTGTAGAATTTAAACTTTTTAAGCAGAACAGCAAAAATTTACACTTTTTTTACGAAATTTCGTAAAAAGTTTGCGAATTTACATTTTTTTTACGAAACTTCGTAAAAAGTAGTTTGATTAAGTTTGAATTTATTTGGGTTAGTATTGGATTAGTTTGAATTACTTCCGGTTAGTTCGAGTTAGTTTGGGTTGGGTTAGTTCGAGTTAGTTTGGGTTAGTTTTGGTTAGTTTGGGTTAGTTCGGGTTAGTTTGGGTTAGTTGGGGTTAGTTTGGGTTCGTTTGAGTTAGTTTGGGTGAGTTAGTGGGAATTTCGCAAAAAGTTAGTGAATTCGCAGATTTTTCACAGAAAAGCCAAATTTACATTTTTTTTACGAAATTTCGTAGAAAAACGTGTGAATTTCGCTTTTATGTAAAAAAAGTGTGAGTTCACAAACAAACTTTAGTTTGTGAACTCACACCAAAGTTTGTTTGTGAACTCACACTTTATTTACAGAAAAGCCATAGGTATTTACACTTTTTTTTACGAATTTCCGTAAAAAGTTTGTGAATTCACACTTTTTTCACAGAAAAGCCAAATTTAGGTACACTTTTTTTACGAAATTTCGTAAAAAAATGTAAATTTGGCTTTTCTGAGAAGAGAAACGTGTGAATTCACAAACTAACTTTTGCTCCTCTATCCGATAGATTTTTAATTTTTTTTTTTGAAATTCGATATTTGATTCGATTTTTTTTTTAAAATTTTCAAACCGTCCTAACTCGAAAACGAAAAGCTTGGGAGTAAAACTTCAAATGTAAAACTTATAGATCTCGTCGAGTACTACAAAAAAGCCTATAAGAAGTATCCCTCCAGGGGGCACTGTTTTCGAGAAAATCGACCTCGAAAATTTTAACAAAATCACAAGAAATTTCAACTGTGACGGCCAATATCTCAAAGACAAAAACGGTCTGGAATCTCAATAAAAAAACATTTTGTAGATAATTTCATCCTCTTTCAAATGAGATATGACTCGAAACGATCGGTTAAGAAATAGCGGAGTTATAGGCGAAAAAGTGGCCTCGTGTCGGATACCCACAATTTTTTTCTGATCAAAATCGAAATTTCCTTTTTTATTTTTTTTCGGCCTTAAGATGTGCCGCAGCAAGAAGAGTCAAATTAACTTTTCGATGTATTTTTTGCTCCTCTATCCGATAGTATTTTTTTTTTTTGAAATTCAAAACATGATTATACAGGGTGTCTACTTAGTGCGATATCGGACGATATCTCCTTACAGGGTGATGCAAGAAAAAAATATTAAATTACAGAGTTGTTTGATACTCTAACATGCATTAGCTAAAAATATTTTCGAATATACAGGGTGCTCCGTTTATGGGGTATGCGACAGAACTTTGTTTTTTTAAATAGAACACCCTGTATGTGATTGCATATTTGGATTCTACGTAAAATTCTGAGCAGATTTTATGTGATATACCCTATACCTAAGTTCAACTGTTTTGGAAATATTGACAGTTGAAAATTGACGTTTTGCAACTTTGACAGGCTGTAAAACCTAAGAGGTTAATTTTATACGAAAAACGATTTTACATTCCTATCTTAGTTTTTTACAAACTGTCATTTGACACCAATTTTGAATTTAATCCATGATTAAAAATTCCAGTTAAATTTAACCGGAGATTAAATTCAAAGTTGATGTCAAATGATAGTTTATGAAAATCTAAGACAGGAATGTAAAATCGGTTTTCCTCTAAAATTACCCGTTTAGGTTTTACGGCCTGTCAAAGTTGCAAAAACTCAATTTTCAACTGTCAATATCTCCAAAACAGTTGAACTTAGGTATGAGTATATCACATGAAATCTGCTCAGAATTTCACGTAGAATCTAAATATGCAATTACATACAGGGTGTTCTATTTAAAATAACAAAGTTCTGTCGCATACCCCATAAATGGAGCACCCTGTATATTCAAAAATATTTTTAACTAATATGTGTATTAGAGTATCAAACAACTTTGTAATTTAATATTTTTTTCTCACATCACCCTGTAAGGAGCTATCCTCCGATATCGCACTGAGTAGACACCCTGTATATAATATGTCAAAAAAGACGTTCGGCATCGCCAGGCCGTTAATTTTTGACATATATCGATGAAACTTTTTACTTTGGGGTTTTTGGAGCCTGGGGATCGTTTTCTGACTTTTGTTTCTTGAAAAAAAGAAAAGATAAAAAATTTTGATATTGACAGTTGTTAAAATTAGAAAAAAAAAACACATGGGCGTATACATTTAGCTTCGGCGAACACGTAGGAAATACTGAAAAAATTCCATGGCCAACTTTGACAGCCGTCAATGTCAAAAATATGACAAGCAGGTTCAATATCAAAAAAAGGATTCCACCACGCATAATATTTTTTCGAAGCATTTCAAGTCGTGTATATATGTATATACATATATCGATAATAATCCGGAAAAAATGGAATTCAAAACTGGCGCTTACGTGGCATAACATTACCTACGCTCAAATGTGTCATCGCACAAGTAAAAAAAAATTCAGGCACACTCAAGTAAAAAAACAATCCGGACGAATAATAATATAATAATAATCCGGAAATTCCGGGCTAATAAAAAAAAAATATTCAACCGGAAGATCCGGGTGATTAGGGACACCCTTAAAAAAAAAAAAACAGATTTCAGAAAAAACTCTAAATCCCAAGGTAAATTGTTACTTACCTTGGTTTGTCAATTTCAAATGTCATGTGTGTAATTTTTAGTTAAAATATCTCATATCATAATGTCCAAATTTTATGGTAAATATGTATCTATCTCTTTTTCATCTTAAACCAACTCTTATTGTAATTTTTTTAGTGCCAATAATTACAAAACAAATATTTAAAGCTAAAAGCATAATTAAGAGTAGTCACTCAAATAAAAGATTTTCAACTGGTAATGATCCTGTTCTAATAACTCCGCTCGATGAAGCGACAAGATTTATGCGAGACTCTTTGGTAGCTGTCGGGTCTCCAAACGATACCGCTTCCGTTGTAGCTCATAATCTCGTAACAGCCGATCACCGTGGCTACTTCAGCCACGGCATGAACAGACTTCAAAACTACGTAAAAGATATTCAACAAGGCAAAGCGAATCCTAAAGCTGCCCCGGTAGTTGTGAAAGAAACTGCAGCGATCGCCTTAGTGGACGGGAGCAATGCGATGGGTGCAATCATCGGTTCTTTTTGCATGGATTTGGCGATAAAAAAGGCATTAGATGTGGGCATCGGCTTCGTAGCTGCAAAGAATTGTAATCATTATGGCTTAGCGAGTATTTATCCTTTGCAAGCCATGGAAAAAGGGCTAATAGGTTTCAGCGTTACGAACACGTCACCCTTGATGGCGCCTATAAGAGCTAAACAAGCAGCCCTCGGAACCAATCCCATATCTTTGGGAGCCAACGGAAAAAACGGAGACTCGTTTGTTTTGGACGCAGCAACCACGGCAGTTTCTTTGGGCAAAATCGAACTTTACAAGAGAAAAGGACTAAAAATACCTCCTACTTGGGCGTTGAACGACCAAGGAAAACCTGAAACTGATGCAGCGATAGCTCACAAAGCTGCCAAGTTGATGCCGCTTGGAGGAACAGAAGCAAACTCGGGATATAAAGGCTATGGTTTCGGTATATTAGTTGAAGTTTTATCGGGAATATTAGCAGGCAAGAATTTTAATTGGAAATATGGTTTAATTAGTTATTTATTATATTTAGGTGCCAACTACGGTCCTCACATAAGGAAATGGGGACGTGAGACAGGTGGCCCACCCAAACCAGCAAACTTGGGAACCGCATATATGGCCATAGACCCAAAAGCTTTCGGTCCCCAATTCGAAGAGAGACTGCAAGATTTAATAAATCACCTGCGCAAAATGGAACCGGTAGATCCTAGTAGACCAGTTTTAGTACCCGGCGATGCTGAGCGGAACCATGTTGCACAAGTTAAAAAAGAAGGCGGTTTAAGATATGTAAAGAACCAACACGACACCAATAAAAAACTTGCTGCGGAATTGAAAGTTGAGCCTCCTCGTTCTTTTCAATTGAAAAGTTAAAAGGACATAACTAATTAAAGTCGTCTTAGCTATTTGTCATCGCCCCTCTGACTGAGCAGATGAATATTTATGCCATAATAACGAGTTGTGAATTGAAATTTATCAGAGAAAAAATAAAAGAATATTTTCAATTACCATGAACCATTATTTATTCAAGATTTCCCAAATCAACACCAATAGAAATGCATGAAATTTGAGGAGAAAACACTTACCTACTTGTAAATGAAGATTTTTTTAAAATACAAATCAATTATCGTTTTGATTAACTAATACAGGACACTTATTAATATAAGTAATTTTCAATCTTCCTGGGCTTTGTTCCCAGGGTTCGCCATCGATTTGAACAGGTGCTTTTTCTTTCAAATGTATCTATAAAAATGTGTTTTATTATCACACAATTATTAATAATAATTATGTAAGTACCTCTACAGTTTTGGCTTGTCCTAATCTTATGGGCGCCGAAAAGCCGACTTGCATCTGGGCTATGTGGAAAGAGGAATAAATACCCACAACTTCTAAATGACCATCTTGATGAGATTGGGTTGTCCTGCTAGAACCATCCCCTAAACCTGACAAGGAAATTTCATTAAAAAAAAACAAGCAAAAATTAAATTACCCCATAAATTAACTCCAGCTCCCCAAGAACTTATATTAAGTACAACAATAGATTCGAGCTCTGGCAAAGCAACTTGTTGTCCATCCAAAAACAAATCCAACCTTTGCTCTAGGTTTTTACAATCAGCCTGAACAACTTGTTGAGTTCCGAAACATAAATACAACAGCTGAAATTATTTTGTTTTAATAAATTATTGATATTGATAAATTGATATACTTTATTAAACACCCTGCTTCCATAAATATAAAACACACTATCTCTGGTTTTATGAAAACTCAAAGCCACTTGAGCATCCACACCCACGCTCAAGTAGTTGTACATATAGAAAGTTTTATTTGGTATTCTCAAGCCCAAATGGCGCGTTGATATGACTTCTATTTGCCACCTAAACAAATTCAATGCTGATTTTCGTTTTATTAAATAAAATACAGTATTATTTACCTATCTAACTGTGATAATGTGGCTTTTTGAATGTTACTTAATAGTTTTGGCATGTCAAGTTCTGGATTGTTTTCTTTGCCCCAACCGAGTACTCTTGATAGGTCATTACCAGTTCCAAGAGGAATTATTGCAAGCAAAGGTTCAGGCTTAAAATATTTATGTATATATTTTTTATTTATTTGCAATAAGTAGGTACTTACATCTAAATCCAATTTGTGGGATGAAGTTAATACCCAAGATATGGTTCCATCTCCTCCTGCTACCAATATTCTTACCACCTGAAAGGATTAAATGAATATAGTATAGTATAATAGGTGAAACGATTACTGGTACAATAATATATTTGGTATAAAATATACTCAAGATCCATTGAAGCAACAAAGGAATTACTAAAAAAGAATAGAGAAGAAAATATAATAGCCAAATTGCTTAACACGATCGATTTTATTTCTGGAAGTATAACCAAATGAGCTGGGATTGAAGTCCTCTGCTGGGATAAGAATCACTGAAAATTTCAGCTGTCTATCTTTGATAGAAAAAAAGTTATGACCTTTCAAAGTTTTCCAAAATCAAAATCATAAGGTCTCAGTACTTATTTCATCTAGCTCAAATGGACCTTGAAGAAAATAAGGATTTTTTCGAGGATTTTTTATTGGAATTTTGGAAGAAATAACTGTAATAGGATACCAACCGAGGGGTGAAAAGCTCTTGCAGTCGGTGTACATATTTCTTACAATCTCCACACAATCATTCACAATCAGATCACAATTGTTCACAATCTGTCACAATCGTTACACAATCTCTCACAATCGTTACAAAATCTCTCATAATCACTACACAATCTATCACCATCTATCGCAGGTGAGGTTCCTCCAAATACCCAATAAGCCTGTTTGATGAGCTTAGTTTTATATGCCACCTGCAGCACACATTTCTGAACTTTAATTGTACTGAATAGGAAAAAAGTAAGGAGAATACCCGTAAACCCAACCTCAAAAATGTTTGGTTGCTATTGAGGTAGGTGGTTGCTGTCCGTGAAAGTTAAAAAAATTTAACTTTAAAACCAAAAGGAATTCACTTTAGATGGCCTAAAAATCCAAACCTAGACGTTGTAGGAAAAAAAAATTATACGGGTGTTTATAAATTTGCGAGTAAGTAGAGTAAAAATCAAACGAGAAGAAGCCACTGTCGTTAGCGCTGACAAAGAAAGCAGATTTCCTTTTCTCTGGGGTCCTCCCATTTAAAGTGAGACAAACGATAACGTGTGTGGCTTCTTCTCGTTTGATTTCTACTCTACCTACATATTTGGATCTGGATAACCACAAGAAATTCCTTGAAATTCCTTGCCCACCAAAATGCTGTTTGGAAATCTGGAAAATTTCGGATAGGTACTAAAAAAAACGAAACTTTGCAACAAAATCGTTTTTGTTTTTTTCCTGCTGAGCTTATTTTTTAAGAGACATGTACAGGGTGTGCAAGATTCGATGGTTTTAGCGGGTTTCGGGTACCACTTGCGAGCCTCGATTTTCAAGAGAAGTTGACCAGTGAAACCCGCATCTCGATGTCTCGATTCGTTTTTAAGCTACAAGGGGAAAAGTTGACTAAATTTTCATAAATAAAAAAGTTATAGCCCCCCTGCCAAACTCGAAACTTTTCAAAAACCCCTCGTAGCATAAAAACGACTCGACATATCGAGATGCGGTTTTCACCAGTCAATTTCTCTTGAAAATCGAGGCCCAGAAGTGGGGGTCATATTTTTTCCAACCCCTTTAGAAACCCCCCCAAAACCATCGAATCTTGGACACTCTGTACAATAGCAAGCATTGAAAGTGGGACACCCGAGTCTCATCATTTTTCGCTATTTTAGGTAAATCAGTCTTTTCTGTACAATGGATTTTGTGTCAAATGTATATTGTTGCCGTGTAAGGTCATGATTATTGACGCTCCGTAAATTTTGTTGTGAAAGTCGGGTTTAGTATCGTTATTTATATGATTTGTGGTTTCATTGTGATGGTTATAATGTGGACAATTGTTTTGTGAAGGGCCCCTATGAGTAACTCGAACAAAACTCCCGTAAAATTGAAAAAACTTTCCATTAATCCTATCGCGAAACCAGTATAAATTCTCATTTCTTGCCTCCTTTTTTTGGCGTACTGACATTCCTACAGATAGTCTAAACATCTTTTTATTGGAAATACCTGTTTTATTTTTTAATTTGTGGTACCTACCAAAAAACCTTATCAGTTGTGGGAATTATATAATTATATACACAAACTAATAAAAATGCAGTGTACAGTCTGCCAAGAAAATTGTTTCAATAAAAGAAGATCACAAATGGAGGATGGAGGGTTGTTTGGAGCATGTTGCGATTTTTGTATGAGAGCTTTTTGTAAAATCTGTTTGGAGACGACAGTAACTGAAAACGATTGTCTTGTCTTGGGTCAGAGAAAGTTGATTTTTGGTTGTAATGAGTGTAAAACTCAACTTTTTAGCTGTATTGAAGAGCTGTCACATCTGAAAAAGGCGCATGAGAAATGTCTAAATGAGATAAAAAGTAAAGACATTATCATGGAAGAGTATCAGATTAAAAATGACGACTTGGAGACAGAGATTAAAAAACTACAAATAGAGATATTGGACAAAAATAAATACATTCTCAGACTGCAGAGAGGGTCCAGAAGCTTTGAGGATCTTGTATATTGATAGAGAGGATGAAATGCATAAGAAAATTCAATACCATGTAAATACAATTGAAAAATTAAACAAGGACGTTAAAAAACTAAATGAGGAAATTATTCACCATCAGAAGGAAAAAGAAGAAATAAATGAAAATCTGGAAAATTTAACCAAAAATCTACATGAAAGTGAGGAAAAAAATCAAAATATGGCATTAGAAATTACAAAGCTTAATAATTGTAATAAAAATAAAAATGAAACATCAAATATATCTAAAAAGTCTGGAGATCAATCCAACTACAGTCTACAGCTGGAACTTAGAAATCTTGAAGCTGAAAAAGGAACAGAAATTAAAAACTTAAATATCAGAATTAGTGATTTAACAGATGAAAATCGAGAGTTTTTAGAAAAGGCTAAAAACATTCAAAATACTAATAATAAATTAAAACAAGAACTATGTGAACTGAAAGAATTGCAGAAGCAAATGATTGTCAGTCTGAATACCATGGAGGAAGAAAATAAACTATACAACACAGAAATAAGAGAACTTAAAAACAAATTATGCCAAACGCAGACAGCAATGAAGAAGCCCACAACTGAAAATAAATTGCAAAAGGATAAAAATAAAAACTTTTATAGTGGAGAGCCGCAGAATAAAAGAAACGTGGAAAGTGTATATGACAATAACACGCCCGGTAATGTTCAGCAAAAAACATACGTGCAAAAACCCAAAATATTTCTGCTAACTGATTTATATGGCAAATATCTACACGAAGACATTAGCAGTTGCTTTGGTGAGGGTTGTATTGTTCAAACAGTTTGCAAACCAAATGCAGGGTTGTCAGATATTGTTATGGATTTGGACTGTTACATCAAGGGCTTTACACAAAATGACTTTGTTATTACATTTGCTGGCTTCAGTGAGTTATACGTTGACAAAAAAAGTATAATAAATCTTTCTAATAAGTGTTTTCAAACTAATCTTTTAATTTGCACTATGCCAGCTAGGTATAAGCAAGATTTAGTACATAAGATGAATCAAAGCCTTATTAAGTATGTTGAGCTATTGAAGTCTTTTTCGATAAGTGTAGATTTGCTGGATCTGGAGAACGCCTTTCGACCAGCTGACTATATTAGAAGCACACCTTTCTTAAAAAGAAGTGGCCTTAAATCTCTTTCAAAGTTGATGTTTAATTCTATCAACAATTTTTTTAACAAAAAACCCCTCTCTAATTTGAAATTTGTTTCGCTTGTTAAGGAATTAAATAACTTAAATTATAGTCAGCGTCCTCAGTCAACTCGGTTGGGTGAACGGGCCCCTTCCCAGAATTTAGATTTAGATTTAGGTTTAGATTTAGGTTTGGATTTGGATGTGGTAGATTTGACTGTTGAAAATTGTCCATCCAGGCCACACAAAACGGTCAACATTAGTTTAGTTGATAATCGGGGCGTAAAAAACAAAAATAACAAACATCAGAATTCTGCTTTACTACTAAATATTCAATCACTCCGAAATAAAACCAACGAAATACACTTATTTTTAAATGAACATAATAATCCAAATATAGTCCTTATTACAGAACACTGGCTGAAAGAATATGAATTAGTTAATATACCTGACTATGTTATTGTGTCAAGATTTTGTCGTACTAGCAATAAGCATGGGGGTTGTATGATTTTACTGAGAAAGTCTTTTTTAGATCTAAATTTATTTGAACCCATAAACAAATTTAATATTCTACTAAAAGAATTAACTTTTGAGTTCACTATGATTTTTTCAAGAAAACTAAACCTCTATGTAGTCTGTGTCTATAGATCACCCAAATCTGTTGCAACTGAATTTTTGACAGGCCTGGATTGTCTTTTGGCTGAAATTTCTTCATCATCTAATGTTCTGCTTGCTGGAGATTTTAACATAGATTACAGAGACGGCAATGCAATATCCACCGTTGCATTAAAAAATATTTTTATCTCTAATGCCCTGAATATGCATGTCACAACACCCACACGTATAACAAAAACAACATCAACCTTAATTGACTATATTTGTTCCAGCTATAGTCAGGAAGAAGTAGAATGTAGGGTAGTTAATTCAGCATTGTCAGATCATGAGGCAGTGGTTTGTGACATATCGGAGCCCAGAGTGATAAATAAACAAAAATCTAGGCGTGGTCGAATATTTGACAGAAGCAGCTTTAATAGGTTTTACCAATCATGTAGCCGGGAAACCTGGAATCAAGTGCTGACATCTGAAGAACCTTTAAGTTCATTTCACCAGAAAACGACAAGGATTTTTAACAATTGTTTTCCTGTAAAAAATATAAAAACAAAAAGGGAAAAACCATGGTTTACCAAGGGCTTAAAAACTTCCTCTAGGAATCTTCGCTGTCTTCATAGGATTAGAAAATATACAGATAGTTCATTTTTTTATACTTACTTTGGTTCCTACAGGTCTTTGTTTCGTAGACTGATTGCAGCTGCAAAAAAGCGGTACTACTCCGATCGTCTAAATAATTCTTCTAACAAACAAAAAGAATGTTGGCATATTATAAATAATATTCGTTCTAATAATTTTCAAAAGTCACTATCACATCCGGAAGTTTCTTCTGACAACCTGAATCAGTACTATTGTAATATTGGGAAAAATTTAACAAAAAACATAGGAATTCGTAAAGATCCAATGTTGTATATGTCTCATATTTCAGTACCCAATTCATTTGCATTTACACCAACCGATTTAGCTGAAGTTAAACAAACATTAAAAAGCATCAAGAACAAAAATGCGTCGGGAGAGGATGGATTGTCTGTCAGAATATTGCTTAATATGCCTGAAGTTATTATAGCCGATATTTTAGTCAAAGCTATAAATCACTCTTGGACGAGCGGGGTATTTCCTTCGAGCTTAAAATCGGCTTTAGTGATCCCGCTTCATAAGGGTGGACTTGAATCTGACCCTGCTAGTTTTAGGCCCATTTCAATGTTGTCTACCTTGTCTAAATTAATTGAAAAACTAACAAAAACTCGAATCATGTCATATCTTGAGTGCAATAAATTATTGAGCAATGCACAATTTGGCTTTCGCACCAATACAGGTACTAATAATGCTATGTTCAATCTGTTTTCACAACTCTTTTCCTCTTTAAATAAGTCAAATGTATCGGCCGAGGTTTTTTGCGATCTGGCTAAGGCCTTCGATTGTGTAAATCATTCTATTCCTATGAAGAAACTGTACCATTATTGGTTTAGGGGGGTGGTTTTATCATGGTTCGAGTCATACTTACAAGGAAGGACACAGCGAGTAATTATTAATGATCAGCCATCAAAACCTTGAAACATTGAATGGGGTGTACCACAGGGGTCGGTCTTGGGTCCTCTCCTTTTTCTGATATTTTTTAATGATCTTGCCAGGCTCAATATACAAGGAAAGTTCACCATTTTCGCTGATGACACTACGATTCTGTGGTCTTGTAGTGATATTGACACTTTAAGAACCATGATTTCAGGGGATTTGGATCTTTTTAAAGAGTGGTTTGATTCAAATCTGTTAACTTTAAACGTCGATAAAATTAATATAGTTTGTTTTAGATGCAGTATAGATGACCTTAGGGTGGGGGGTGATTCTCTGACAGAGCGTAATCACAGCAAATTCTTGGGCTTGACAATCGACTCTGGCTTGAAATTTGAGGATCATATTAGTATATTGATAGTAAAAAAATTGCGTCTGCTTGTTATGCAGTGAAAACAACAGTTAACGAACTCGGATTCGCTTTTGGAAAGACGGTTTATCATGCTTTGATAGAGTCGCACCTACGTTATGGTATTGCCTTCTGGGGTTCTACCAACAACCAACTACTTCAAATAATTTTTGCTTTGCAAAAGCGGGCAATACGGTATTTGTGTCATGCCAAATTTAGGGAGTCATGCAGGCCTTTGTTTGTGTCTAAAAAGATTCTAACGGTCATATCTTTGTATATTCTGGAATCTGTTTCTCTTATATATGTGCATCAAAATGATTTTCTTCGTCTGTCGGGTGGATACAACACAAGATCTATTCAGCAGAGAGATTTGCAACTTCTGATTCCGAAATCTACTCTGGTTCACAAGTCAATCTGCTACAATGGCATATAAATGTTTAACCATCTGCCTCAAAAAATTAAGATGTCCCCGAATCTAAAAATGTTTAAAAGAATGGTTACAGTTTTACTTGTTGATAGGGGTTATTATAGTCTGGAAGAGTTTTATCAAGACAGATTTTGACACAATTAGCTTGGTTGGTTACATGACATTCAACTCTACACTTAATAAAAAAAAAAAAAAAGTATAAAACATGCATACAAGAACTGCTCGTTTTTCAACTAATCTGTGATATCTTAGGTTTTTTAAAGTGTTAATTTGATGTAAATTTTAAATTGTTTTAAGTGTTAGACTATCTTAACCAGGTTTTTTGTGTAGGATATGTATTTTAGTATAAGCAAGCCTTATTTTGTATGTGACTAGTTTTAGGTTATTCGCTTTGTCCACAAAATAAATTGTATAGTTTTTTATGACAATAAAGCACATTGGGTGGTATGAATAAAAATGAAGTACATGCTACTACTACAAGTATTAGTATATTCTTCGAAGTATTTACTCCAAAAAGAAGCATTTACTTATTTTCGGTAGTGTCGAAATGTAGTATCTACTTCGTTTTGGAGTAAATACTACGTAGAACATGCTAATACTTGTAGTATTAGCAAGTACTTCGTTTTTATTCATACCACCCATTATCTATCTATCTATCTAAATATGACAATCCCTGTGATTGCCGACGGTGTAGCTGTGAGCCCGTTTTACAATAGGAAAAATCGGGCGTACCATTTTATATGCTCACGACTGTCAAAATAAATTGCACTTCATCGTTGCCACTTTTTCTTTTCTACAATATGGCATTATTCTCCAATGGAATGGTGTATCAAACCAATCGATCAAATGAACATTTTAGTTAGAAAAGTATGATAATTTGTATGAAGATACTCATCTTTGTCAAAGAGAAACAATTTACCCAATTATTATATTTGCTATAAAATAATGAGTTTGACAAAGACAAATTTATGAAGAAAACAATGGATTTGACAAAGATGAGTATCTCCATACATACAAATTATATACTTTTTTGATTGAAATTTTCATTTTATTGATTGTTTTGATATACCGTTCCAATAGGGAAGTCAAAAACTAACAAAGAAAGAAATAAAAAATCCAGAGCCGTATTGAAAAAAATAAATTTGATGATGCTGGCTCAAAGAAGAAACGTCGGATTCCAAATTTGATAACGCCATATTGCAGAGGAGAAAAAGTGGCAACGATGAAATGTCATTTATTTTGAAGTATCCCTTCAAATAAGCACAGGAAAAAAAAATTGCAAAATTTCGTTTTTTTCCGAATATCTCCGGAAGTATTCGGAAATTTCCAAATTTCAAAACGGCACTGTGGTGAGCAAGAAATTGCGTAATTTTGTCCCAATTTGACCGACTCTGTATCTCTTATGGATACCGAGATCCGTATACTTACTCGCGAATTTGTATCAGCCTGTATATGGTCCAATCCATTTTAAAAATTATCCATTTACACTATCAAGGTTTGAGTCACAAAAAAAAACACAATATTTTTAAGCAAATAAAAGCCTAATTTGAAAAAAGTATCTACCCCACAACCAATTCTTTATTATTTATCATCATTTTCCTGTGTTATTAAAACTTTTTTCTGTCACGTCTGTCTGTGATGGTTTTTTTAAATTCAAACACCCGGTATATATTTAAAAAATTAAGATTTCAGATGGCGCAGAGGAAACGCATGTTTCAAGTGTGATGAACAACTTTCAAGAGGGGTTGGAGATGTGTCACCCGAAAGCAGGACGACGAGTACCTACCTAATTGAAACAAAATTTTCTTGAAAATAAAAAAATGCTTGCTCATAACTACGTGAAAAACATGCGTTTCCTCTGTGCCACCCTGTACAATGGCTCAATCGGAGTAATGTATATGAGAAAGATAAAAAAAACTGAATATTCTTAACACATTGCTTATGGTAATATTTTTCAATTTGTTCTAATCACAGAAATAGTATATTGTTGTATTAGGAGTAGAAGCTTTACTTTTTTGTGCTGAAGCGGTAGGTTTGCGAGCCGAATGTAGTGAGGCTTGCAATACTGCTGAAGCTGGGGTTGCCAAGCAGCATAGAAAGCAAATTTCTACCACCTCGACAGGTGCTAACCCCCTGGATTTGCCTAGCAGCATAGAAATCAAATTTCTGACATCTGGACAGGGGTTGACAAAGTGACGTTTTTCTGACGTTTGGAGAAAAAAAAAGTTTTGGTTTCGATATTTTGTTATTCTATTCTAACCCAATTAATATACCAGAGCTGTTTTCTCGCGTTCACTTTTTTGAGACTGTATCAAAACAGGTTTGAAACAGTATATTCTCGCGATGAACCCATGACGTCACATCAAAATGGGTCAAACCGTTTCGAGATAAAATCCAATCCATGTTTTAAAACCATTTTCTCGCGCCCAGACGTTATGACGTGATGTGACATTGTTTTAAACTAGTTTTAAAACATTTGACACATGAGAAAACACCTATAGTCTTTACACAATCATTCACAATCCTTACACAATCACTCACAATCATGAGAGAATCAGTCACAATCGTGACACAATCAGTCACAATCGCTCACAATCCTTATACAATCATTCACAATCGTGAATAGTGAAATAGAAGATTGTCTTGACAAACTGCAAATAATATTAGCAGAAAAAAATACATAAAATTAGTCACTATTAATAAATTAAAAGTTGTTAAATTAATAAGCTGTTATTTAATGAGAAAGTTATTGCCAAGCCAAATTAAAATACACAAGCAAAATTTTACTGACATTTATTTAATCACCTTGGGTGCCAGTAGGACACACCACTGTAGTGCAGCTGGAGGCTTTCTGTTAGTTAAATCAATAACTTGGGCAGGATTTAAATACTTTCTAAATTCTGACAAAACTAATGCGCCATCAGAATTCCCAGACTTTTTATTAGCTGAAAATGTTTCGTTTAAACTGCAACAATCACTAAATGAAAATGACTTACCCACTACCACTAAAGGAGACCATCTCTCCCAGCCAGGATCTCTGACACCTCTCAATAATAAATGTTTATTCAACGTTCCCTTGCGTCTAGCAACTTGAACACAAGAAGGAGGTACAATCATGGATCTAAATGGACCAAAATCGCAAGCTTCTGTCGCCTGTGGAAGACAACTTGTATGAACTGTCCTTTGACACCAACAGCACTGAAAATCTATTAATCCTGGTTCCATAGAACAATCCTCATTGCATATGTGACAAGTGGCTCCTAGTGGGAGATTGCCTTTTACCCAATGATGCAGCTGAACATCACTGTTGGAAGTGATCAATTTACAAGGTAAGGTACGATTGGCTGTTTTGACGCATTCTTGGTCGGCACATACTCCACAACAATCACAATAAACTCCAATGCCGTGAATAAGGAAGGCTTCACATACTGAACAATACCAAGCCTACAAAAAACTGGTTCCAGGGGATATAATTTTTCTACAAATAATTATTACCTTTGCTGTAATTTTAATAGGATTCCAATTGTGAGTTTTACTTAAATCCCTCACAGCGACATTGCTATCATTACTCAGTTTCTTGAAAACGTAAAATCCTATCATGCATAGTGCTATGGCTCCAGCAAATGTTGTAAATTCGAAGGACGGAAGTAGGTCTCCGAATGTCCACATACTAGGAGTTGAGAGTGTAGGAGTTTTACTCAAAACAGTCATTTATCTTCAAGATGAATAAATAAAATACGACCATAAATCTACTTATCGACAACTTCGTTTTTGTAGCGTAGCCAGCGTATTTTTACTATATTTATGCACATTTTAATTAGTTTTTTTTTTTGTGACTGGATGTTTCTAATTTCTAATTTAATTAAACAAACCAATTTTTATGTTTTGTTTTTGTTTTTAAAAATGACAATAAAGTGACACTTTTGACAGAGAAGGGTCTATCGATATTCATAGGTATCGATACGATATTCCTCTCAAAATCTGCACTTCTTTCCAATAGAAAAATGTTTCTGCAAAAGTATTAGTTCTGTTTTATTTATATGAACCAATGTATCGATTATCGATAAGGCCTCCTCTAAGCTATTTATACCCGATTGCACCATCTCTCTTAACTGAGGCTTAACGATAACTATCCCTTAAATTGACAGTTTTGCATGGGAAAATGTCACTTTAAGGAATAGTTATCTCTAAGCCTCGGTTAAGAGAGACGGTGCAATCGGGCATAATTTATAAATAAAATTGCTACTAGAGGTGTCAGAAAAGTAACTATTCGTTACTCGAATACTCGTTACTTGCCCGGATCCGAAATAACGAATACAAAAATCGCCGGCGCTATAGTTATTCGAGTACTCGAATCGAAATTCTCTATGCATATTGCGCACCAAGCTCATACCAAATAATATTATAACAAATATTATTATAATCATACATATTTTTGTTTATTCAACCTTCGACCAGATTCAATATTCAATAATATATTCCAGTCAGAACGAGTATTTGAGTAACCAATATTTAGTAACGAGTACATTACTAAAAAGTAACGAATAGTTATGAGTAGTCAAAAGTAACTGTATTTTATATCTCTAATTGCTACTTCAAAGCAGGGAGCCGGACTGAAATGAAATATCGATTCCGTTCTGGTCCGCAGCGATGATAAATATCGGTTCCGTTACGGTTCCGGTTCTAAAAAAAAATATCACAAAATTTTGATCCGATTCCGACCAATAATTTCGGTTTGAACGGTTCATTCATACCGGTATAGTTTTTCACAAATATCTAATGGCCATTATTGCACCGACCATTTTAAGATCCATCCCTTAAAACGGTCGGTGCAAACGGCCATAACAGAAAAATGTATCCGCCTATCTGAGAGCCCATTTCATTGGCCGAACAAGGCGATATATGAGAGCAATATATATCAACTATTGGCCATTTTCGTGCAGGTTGTTGGATCCCATGATTTCATTGGTGCAGAACTTTTTGGCTCAAGAGTAATCAATACAACACGAGTCAAACCAAAAGAAATCGCTATAAAGAAATAACTAACTGCCATTGTCAATTAAGTCAAACAAAAGTCAAAAAGTGACAGTGTCGAGTCGTTGAAAAAGAAAAAGTGGTGAATCGTAAACCTAGTTAAATTAGCAAGAAAATAAAATCAAAATTTTCAAGAAAAATTATTAATTGTTTTCAGTCTTAAGTTATTTTTGATATAGATTATTAAGTAATATCAAATATCAAGTAAGTGAAGTTTTATTATTATATTACTCCTTTTTTATGTTTGTCTTTTTTTTTTCTGTTCCATTGTTTACATTATATGTTTTTAAATTAAACGTAACAATTTTCAACGGAAATTAAATAGAAATCGAAATGAGCAACGAGCAACCTGAAGTCCAGGAATCCGCTGCACAACCTGAAGCGACTCCAAACGAGCTGGAGAAACAGGAAGAAGCCAAACTAAAAGCCAAATTTCCAACAATGCCAGCAGGTCGTTTTGTCGGTCACTCGGCCTTTTTGCAAAAACGCCTGGCAAAAGGTAGAAACTACTATTTTTATTAACCATCAAAAAACCTATACCTACCCACAATATTATTCTAGGACAAAAATTCTTCGATTCTGGTGACTACCAAATGGCCAAGCAAAAAACAGGGGGCTTGAATAAACTACCCTTGAAAGTGCCCGACCCCTTTTTTCAAACTGGCGAAGCGATTCCTACTCCAGAAACTGTTCCTACAAGGAAAACGTCCCTGGTGCAACCATCCAAACTTGCCAGTATTACTGTTTCAACTCCTACAGGCCACAGCCCTCCTTCCAAATATCCAACCAATAATTAGGGGATAGGAAGGATTAAGCTCAAATCAATTTTGTGATGAAACATTTATTTTATTTAGGAATATAATTATGTGCTACTTTAGAGCAAATAGGATTGACTGAGCTGAGTTTTGAAGAAATTTATTATTTACTTATTTTTATTCATAAAAAAAAGAAAAAAATGTTTTTCTATTAGGGTGTTCATTTGTACTGCTTTTTTTGCTTCAAGCAGATCGGTGTTCACTTGTCCCATATATAAGCTCATAAAGCAGATCTTCCTGATTTTTCGAGCAGATAGAGCAAGTACAAATGAACACCTTTTATTATTATAAGTTAAAAAGATCTGCTCTAATTGGGAAACATAATTATTACATTTTTCCGTTATATTAGGAATTATAATATTATTTTGTTGTAAATAATAAAATATTTTCAACATTGAAATATTTTTTATTTGCAATCATATATGTAATCTTGTCATTACTGACTTTTTAAAAAGGATAACGCACATCTAACATGGGATTTTTGGGCTGTATGGATTTTGCCTATTTTTTGATATGTTTTAGAGGATTTAATTCTGAACAACCTTTAAATGGGACGAAATCTTGTAGGTATTACGGTCTTTGAGATATGAGCGTTGAAAGATGAACTTATTTGCAACTTTTTGTGTGGAGAGTATACGAGATACTGGTGCTACTGGTGTCACAGAACACATATCCTCACGGATAGAAAAAAAAGCTTAATGGAAGGCGGGGCCTAAAAAAAAGCTTCGGATCGCATCCGCTTGGGGACGCTGGAGTGAAACAGAACTACAGGTGCGGAATGAACGCCACCAAAAAATATGTCACAGTTTACTTTGGCAGTTTACCTGTTACCTATGTTTAAAACAAATATGTCAAAATAGTTCTGAATGAGAATTCGTCTTGGTGTTGGTGTGCATTTTAAATCCAGATAAATGTTTTCTGAATTCAAAAAAAAAAATCAGATTTTACACAAAACATAAGAAGTTTGGCCGTTTTTGCTCTATTCGGAAGAAAAATCCTTCATTATTCAATAATGAGAAAAAAGGTTTGTTTCGACTTCGGTTCAAAATCAGTTCTAAATTGGACTGCGCTTGCACATTTGGTTTAACATTGTAGCTCCATTAAAAACAATTAAAATACAATCTCGTTTTAAACCGTGGTGGAATGAACGAGTTCAAGATGCAATAAGAGCTAGAGATGATAGTTACAGACAACACAAGCTTATTAAATCTGAGGCGAGTCACGCAATTTACAAAGAGAATAGAAATATGGCAGTTAGGACTATTAGGCAGGAAAAAATCAAATATTTTGAAAATCAGGTGGATCAATGCAAAAATGACCCATCTAGTATGCGGTCAGCATTAGGTCAAATATTACCGCAAAATTAAAAATCCTTGAAAATTTCTGAAGTTCATATTAACGGTGAAGTGGTTAATGATAAGGATATCCTGCCTGATAGGTTAAATAGATTTTATATAAACAGCATAGAGCAAATTGTTAGTGAAATAGACAACACTGCGGACACTTATATAAATAATAATTATTCTTCAACTATATTGGATAGGTTTGATAACTTTAGATTGATCGATACGGAAGCTTTAAGAAAGGTTGTTGTTGTGATCCTTCAGTGTTTTGCCTTGGTTAAAACTACTTTTGTTTTTGGTTTGAAACTTGTAGCTTTATTAGGTAATGGAATATAGAATGAAATTGAACTACAGCAAAAGTAAGACTTATTTTAGAGAGAGTTTTAACAAAATGTGTTACTAAGACTGAAGCTGTCTTAAGACTGTCTTCTTGCTTCAGTAGATCTCTTACAAATCGACCTTTACATCCCTTCTAAAACGTTTCTAAAACCTACATAATTACAACTGGAAAACCCTAAATAAATATTGGCAATAAATGACAGTCTGTTCGCCCAAAGAATGACCATTAAGGATATTTGGGAATTTTGGGGTTTATGGTGGACAAATGTTTAATTTATTTACATACAATATCTTTGGGTTCTTTAACAGAAAGTCTGGGTCATATAATAGTATTTCTTTCGGCGACGGCGAGACATTATTTGGGAAAGTATTCGAGGGTCGTAAAAGGTACAATGTCATGATATTATGGAGGAATATGACATTGTTTTCTCCTTGGAATCTAAAAGTAGCCCTGATGAAATTAGTGTCGACCTGCTAAAAAACATTTATGATGCCATTGAGGATCCACTCATAAATTTAATAAATCGTTCTTTTGAAACCGGCGAATTTCCAAATCGGTTAAAGATGTCCACTATAATACCCGTCCAAAAAAAAAGAAAATGTTCTTGATGCTACAAATTTCAGGCCTATAAATACTCTTGCAACAATAGAAAAGGTAGTTGAAAAAATTTATTACATACTGTTGCTAGATTTTGTTGAACATAATAACTTAATAACTAAATTTCAATCAGGGTTTAGAGCGAACCACAGTTGTGAAACTGCGGTTCAGTGTGTTGTGGATGAGTGGAAGAATTGGGCTGATAGTAACTATATGGTAATTGCAGTGTTTTTAGATCTCCAGAGGGCTTTTGAGACGGTAGACCGCAAAATGCTCTTAAATAAACTTGAAGCTGTGGGTATTGGTGGATGTGTACTAAAATGGTTTAAGAACTATTTGGCAAATCGAGTACAGAATGTTAAAGTGAATGGAAGAGTTTCTGAAAATTTAGAAAATTATCATGGTGTACCTCAGGGTAGCGTACTGGGGCCACTACTTTTTATTTTATATATAAATGACATGGCAGATATTTTAGGAAATGCTAACGTTCACTTATTTGCTGATGACACACTGGTTTATGCAGCCTCTAGGAATTTGACAAGCCTTGTTCAAAACATGAATGCGGCGTTAAATAGAATTTATAAATATACTGTGAAATATCGTTTAAAGTTAAATGTGAATAAGTCAAAATTCATGTTAATAACCAATGACAAAACCAAACTCCATTGTGATGACAATGATCTTTCATTGATGGTTGGATCTGAGAAGATTCAAAGAGTACAAAAGTTTAAATATTTGGGGGTGATAGTGGATGATAAACTTTTATTTAGGAAACATTGCAATTATATTGTGTCTAAAATAAGTTTTAGTGTTAACTATCTATCTCGATGTTCCTATTTTCTCTCTTTCTGTTAAGTTAGTTGTATATAATACATTAGTTTTGCCACAAGAAGTAGCCTCGAACATAGAAATTCAAGGTACACAGGTGAAAGATGAGAACCCAAAGGACATTTTAAAAGAAATAAGTAATGATCTATTAAATTATAAACTGGAAGACCATGAGATTCTAGAATGCATCAAAAAAGAAACTAAGAAAGGGACAATTATTTCTGCGAAGCCTCTAAATATTGAAATAAAAAATGGCTTATTGGCCAGTAGGAAACATCGTAGCATTGATTCTAAAATGCTGAAATGCAACACCTCGAAACCAGAAAGTACTAAAAGTAGAATTTATGTTAATGAAGAGCTGACCCAAAGAAACAGGTATTTATTTAGTTTAGCCTACAAAACCAAAAAAGAAAAAAGCTATAAATTCTGTTGGACTAAAAATGGTAGAGTCTACCTAAGAAAAAGTGAGGACTCCTCAGTAGTTCTCGTTAACAATGAACATTCGCTAGAAAACCTTTAAAATGGCTGCATTTACCAAAGAAATAAAGCATTTTGCTAGTCTAAATCAACATATCAACAGTCCAGGGTCTAAAACTCTAGAACAAAATTTTTCTATTTTATATTTAAATGCTCAATCCATTAGAAATAAGGTAAATGATATAGAAGCTTTGGTAAATAGTTTAAATCTTCCAGATGCTATTGTTATAACTGAAACCTGGCTATCTCCAGACGAAGCATTCCATTTTGGTTTTGATGGGTACAGATCAATTTATGTTAGTAGAGATAAAAGAGGTGGAGGCATTGGCATTCTACTTAACGAAAAATACAACTTCAAAGAACTTGCAAAATATAACTCAAACTGTTCCATCATCTTTATTTTGGTGGAAGAATGTGATATTATTATAGGAATAATATATAGACCACCAAACTTTGATTACAATTTATTTTTGCAAACCTGTGATGAGAAATTGAATATTATTATTGCTAATAAAAAAAAGACAGCCTGGATATTTGGAGATTTCAACCTGAACATTTTAAATTCGAGCCCACAGCAGCAAATACTTCAGCTCACAATTGAGTCAAATGGATTTACCATAATCAATAATCATATACCATCAAGAGTAACCCAACATTCTAATTTCCATTCCAACTAAACACTATAATCAACAACTCCAAACCCAGGAAAGACCGCTTGTTACCCAAGTTAGTGCATGAAGGACACACTGTGCAGAACCCGCAGGATGTTGCCAACTTGCTAAACCAATACTTTTCCGGAATTGCTGCAGAACTAGCAAAAAACATCCCCCAAACAATTTTTTCCCCTCAACTCCAACCAGCTTTTACTGCCTATATAAATCAATGAGAACCTGTGACTACAGAGGAGGTCACTGCAGTTATAAACAAATTAAAACCAGGAAAATCACCTGGAACTGACAGCTTGGGCATTGATACAATCAAGGAATTGAAAAATGAAATAATATATTATGTAAGTTGATAAATGTTGTTTTTAATACTGCATCTGTACCAAGTTTGTTTAAAATGGCCAAGGTTGTCCCTTTATTTAAGGGTGGTGATAGCACAGAACTAAACAATTACAGGCCCATTTCCCTGCTCCCAGCTATGTCTAAGGTATTGGAAACCTGTGTAAATATGAGATTAACCAGTTATTTGGATGGAATAAATTTTTGGTATGCGGGTCAATATGGATTCAGAGAGCACTGCAGTACCTCCTCAGCAACTACAGACCTAATTACAAATATTTATGAAAAGGTTGATAAGAGATATAAGTGTGTGTACTTGTCTCGCTGGACTTAAGAAAAGCTTTTGACACAGTAAATCACCAAATTCTCGTAGAGGTGCTTGAAAAAACTGGTATTGGAGGTTCAGCACTACTGTGGTTTAGGGACTATCTGTCGGGCAGACTACAGTATGTTGAATGTGAAGGTAACAGAAGTAAAATGGAAAACATTGTACACGGAGTGCCCCAAGGCTCAATTCTGGGACCCACACTCTTCCTAGTCTACATGAACTCACTGTCATACATACCTCTTCAGGGCTCTCTCAGTTTATATGCAGATGATACTTGCATCACTTATTTTGACAAGGACCCTGCTAACTTAAGACTTACAGAAAATAAGCGATTGGCTCTGTTACCACAAACTTAGTTTAAATGTGAAAAAATCAAGCTATATGGTAATATCAAAGTTTGAGTCCTGGCCTGACTTCACAATAAACTTCCAGGGTCTCCCATTGACTCGTGCAGACTGCATCAAATACCTGGGACTCTTTGTTGATTCAAAACTTACTTGGGTTATGCACATCTTGCATATATGTAAAAAGGTTACACCAGCAATTGGAGTACTTGGTCGAATATCGGACTATCTGTCTATCACGAATCGTAAGATGATATACAATTCCCTCATCCATTCTCACATTATCATATCTAACTCTGCTATGGGACAATGCTTCCCTGAACAAACTGCACCCATTGTCAGTTCTCGAAAATCGTGCTATAAAAAAATTGTTTAGGCTGCCATTTCTGTTTCCAACAAAAGACTTATATTATCCGAATGGCATCCTGGACGTTCACTCTCTGTATATCTTGCAATCGTGCATCTTTATCCATTCTTGCAAGACTTCCAATATTCACTCTACAATAAGTCTCATCCCAGCCAACACAGTCCATCAGCACAATACCAGACTCAATGAAAACTTAAGAACGTCGGCATTGAACACTACAACTGGCCAACGCAGCATCTTATCAGAAGGACTAAGGTACTACAATCGAATTCCACAACCTGTTAAAAGATTGAACATAACTTGCTTCAAGTGTAAGCTGAAGCAGCTGATCTTCGATGGATACTTTGGGACTGTACAATGATAGGGTGACCATATTTTTTTTGTATGAATGCTGTACAGGGTTATTGATTGGTCATAAATGTCACCCCCCACTATCTTTTTTATTTGACATTTTAGAAAAAAGTGTCCCAAATAAAAGTTTTATGGTTGAAATTAAATTTTTTGAAAAACTCACTTTCGCATATACAGGGTGTTCCAGAAAAGCTGGTCGTGCTCCAACTTTCTTATTTTAAATAGAATACCCTGTATATTATTGGATATTCGGATTTTACATAAAATTCTGAGCAGATTTCATTTGATATATCCTATACCTAAGTTCAACTGTTTTGGAAATATTGACAGTTGAAAATTGACTTTTTTGCAACTTTGACAGGCTGTAAAATCTAAATGGTTAATTTTAGAGCAAAACCGATCTTACATTTTTTGTCTTAGATTTTCATAAGCTATGATTTGACACCAACTTTGAATTTAACCGGAGATTAAATTTAATCGGAATTTTCAATCATGGATTAAATTCGAAGTTGGTATGTCAAATATCAGTGTCAACTGATAGTTTATGAAAATCTAAGATAAAAAAGTAAGATCGGTTTGGCTCTAAAATTAACCGTTTAGGTTTTACAGCCTGTCAAAGTTGCAAAAAAGCCAATTTTCAACTGTCAATATTTCCAAAACAGTTGAACTTAGGTATAGGGTATATCACATGAAATCTGTTCAGAATTTTATGTAGAATCCGAATATTCAATAATATATAGGGTATTCCATTTAAAATAAGAAAGTTGGAGCACGATAAGCTTTTCTGAAACACCCTGTATATGCGAAAGTGAGTTTTTCAAAAAAAATTAATTCAACCATAAAACTTTTATTTGAGACACTTTTTTCTAAAATGTCAAATAAAAAAGATAGAGGGGGGTGACATTTATAACCAATAACCCTGTACACATCTAAAATTTTGGGACAGGTGAGTGGAGAAAGAACTAATGCAAATTTAAAAAAAATAAAAAAATTAAAGACATAACATAATAGGTCTGTTCGCACAGAAATCACAAACCAGTCAGAGTGAATTTCATTGGTTGAAAACCTTAATGGTTGAAACCAACGTTATTTGAAAGAGGTAGGTTAGCTGATAACTTTTATGACGTTATCTGGATGCCTAAACATAATGAAAATCTCCATTAGATCTTCCTGATGACGTCATCTGTTTACCATTACCCATTACCAGACAACCTATTAACTTTAGGAACCTTGGGTTGAAACTATGTAGTTTTCTGACTGTTTCTGACTATTTGCAACTAATGAAATTCGCGCTGACTGGTTTGTAATTGCTGCAGAAACAGACCTACTATGCTGTGTCTTCTTCTTAGCAGCGTTAAATAGGGAGAGATAAAAAAGGTAGTTAGCATTAAAAGGAAAACTCTGGGAGATGATGGCGTAAATGACGTAAATCGCAAATGTAGAAATGTCGTTAGTTATTGAGGGACAATTTTTCGTACATTTTTTTTAGGAAAAACTTAGAAGTAAGACCGGATCCGAATCGCTGTACTTTTGCTGTACAAAATCAAATGCTGGACAGACTTTGAAAATGCTGTACAATACAGCGAAATGCCCTATACAATGAAAGACTTTATCTGCAATTTAGAGCTAAGATATTCATAAATGAAACAACTTTGTGATACAGTACCTACTTGTACTGGATATTTTCTCTTGTGTGATATTGTATAATGTATAAAATAATACGGTATATTGTAATAATGTTATATGTGATACTGAATAACCCGTATAGCTCTCCAGCTCAGGGTCTCTAGTTTAGGTTCATACATACAGGGTTAGTAAAAAGTACTGCAACACTTGAATATCTTCGAAACTGCTTAAGTTGCGTTCACACAATTCGGAATCTGACAGTTTTTGGACATGCGGAATTCAACAGTGCTATTGGCAATGTTGCCAGACTTCCCAGTTTTACGCTACACGTAGTCTTTTTGTTATCTTAAATAGAATGCCCCATTTATTTTTTTTGCAATGAATTGGGCGTGCCAAATTTGATAAGACTACAAAATTTCATAATTCTATCTTTACTAGTTGTTGAAATATGACAACACTTTTTTGGTGAAAAGTATCGCAACGCTTGAATATCTTTAAACGCCGCTTAAGCTTTGTTCACGAAATTTGGTATCTGGGGGTTTTTGGGCAAGCGAAATTCAACCGTGATATCGGCATTGTTGCCAGATTTCCCAGTTTTGCGCTACACGTCGTTATCTTGGATAGAATGTAGAGATGCCACGATGCCACGAATATTCGGTATTCGGCTACTATTTGGTCGAGTATTCGGTAGTCGGCCATTTTTTTTGTATTCGGTATTCGGCCGAATGCCCCATAAAATAGTATACAAATAGTATACAAACCTCGAAGGAAAGTTTTCATTTCTGTCTCGAGATTAATAGACTATAAATCTCTCGACAGTAATGAAACACTTCCCTACTCGGTATGTAATATACTATTTTTTACCTAGCTACTGCTACCTTATTACTAAAATGATAAATTTAATTTTTTTTTTTATGTCGAAATTTGGTGTCTAAATGATGATTGGGGAACCCCCAAACTCCATTAACTAAATTATTCTGAAATTTGAAGCCGAAAACTATGATAAAAGGCACTTAGAAAAATTGATAAATCACCCCAAATTGCTTAACACAATTTTATTTCTGGACCTATAAGTCCAAATGAGCTGAAATTTTCAGGGATTGTAGTCCTCTACTGGCATGAGAATTGCTGAAAATTTCAGATTTCTATCTCTAATAGAAAAAAATAATGAATTTTCAAAATTTTCAAAAATCCAAACCATAAGGTAGGTAGATACCTATTCAGATTGTAGATCGATTACTGAATGTTTAAGTATGCCAAATCTGAATCCTGTTCCGACTCTGAACAATAAATAATCAATCTTGCTTGTTATCAAGTTAAATATTGGTAATTTTTATTTTCGTTCCAAATTTCCAGAAATTATTTAATTTCACAAATACCTATTTATTTGCTCAAAAATAATGATTTTTCATCGAACAAAATTAATTAATCATAACCAATCATAACATAATATTTAGCTGATTATTGATTATAGTTCTCATTATTTTTACATAAATATTATTTAAGTTTAGTACTTAATATGCAAAAAAAAACAATTTTAAAATAAAATTTATTTACAAAATTATCATCACAATATAATTCTCTGCGCAACATCAAATAAAAGTAAGCCAAATATCATGTAGATCCCACCAATATGGATTTTAAAGCCGCAGAGTCAACGAATATGGTCGATGTTTTTCGTTCAGGATTATATTGATTCTGTTTAATATTCGATTCCTCAATTATTTTAACAATATTGCTAGGTAAAGCCAGCGTTTCTTTTAAATCAGACCTGAAAAAATATTTTATATTTTTAAGTTTTCATTATATGTACCAAGACTAACCATGCGCCACTAGTAAACACATAATAAACTTTCGGTACTGGAAATCCATTAAACGGACTAGCCACGGGCAAAGTATAAGCTCCCATATCTTCAAAAACAATACATTCTCCTATATTCATCTCAGGCAAAATAATTTCCTCAATAACCTGATCCAGGCCGTCACAAGTAGGACCCCATATACTACTGGAAATTTTGTTTGCTTCGAGATTTTCAACCAGCGGTATAGGTTTAACTAGCTGATGATCATATAAAATGCAATTGAAACTGCCATATACGCCATCATCAATATAATACATCCTATGAGTTTCTGTTATATTGCCTTTGTCGTCTTCCTCGTAAATATTTTTAATGGAATGTATATTGCAGGTGAGAGTGTAGGCAGATGCCACGTAGAATCTTCCTGGTTCAGCAATCACTCGAATTTTAACGTCGTTGAAATATTCGTCTAGGGAATTGTTGACGATGTTTGCGATCTAATAATATGTCATTTCACGAATTTATTTAGTTATTAGGATATTTATTTACCTCATTAATTGATGATCCACGTACTCCCGGGTACCCACCGCCAATATCCAGAACGGAAAAGTCAAAACCCAAAGTTTTGGAGTAATCGTAAAGGTCTCTGGTGGATTTGATGGCTCGGCGAAAAACAGCAGGCTCTCGACAGCCAGAACCCACGTGGAAACTGATTCCGATTACGTTCAAATTCAGGGATTCAGCTAGACGTAGAAGTCTTGGAGCTGCTACGATGGGATCGCAACCGAATTTGTTGCCTAGTGGACATTGGGCGTCTACTGCGTCTACTCTTATACGAATAATGAGCCTATAGAATTTTTATGAATGAAAAACTAATTTATGGTATTGGACCAAGATTATTTTTACCTGGCATGTGGATAAACGTTTCGGATTTTGTAAAGTTCGCTTTCGCTATCGAAAGTCATGTCGCTAACTCCTACACTAGCAGCATAGCGAATGTGGCTAATGGGCTTAGCTGGATTAGCAAAAACGATTCTGTCGGGAGTGACTCCAATGGATACGACTTTGCTGATTTCGGCTTGAGAGGCGCAATCGAAGCAAGCGCCCAGTGAAGCGAGGACTTTTAAAATTACGATGTCATCGTTACATTTCACGGCTGAAAATAAGTTTGATTGAGAAGTTGAGGTGGGTATTTGATAAAGATTGTCTAGACTCTAAAGTAGACTTAAAAAAGGCGTGTGTTTTGAGTGTATATAAAGATAAAATTTCTTACCATAATGTGGTGCAACTTTCGGCAATTCGCTGGTCCACACGCGATGTTTTTCAATTATTTCATCGATGTTGCACAGATAAAAAGCTTCATCCTGACACTCGTCACTGGAAATTTGTTCAATCAGCGACCAAATTTGCGGGTTTTTCTCGAAATCTTCAAGACCGCTTTGAAGTTTCATTGTGATGAAGTTTTTTTACTGGCAGAAATTTAGTTTGCGTGAAATCTAGACCATTTTATAAAGAAAAAAAATTGATTCGTCAATGGCAAAGCAAAGCGGCGAGAATACTATAAAACAATAAATACTACATCTTATATCCTCAAATTAAATTTTATCTTAGAATTTATTTATTTGCTTCTATAGACTTTGATATTATCTAAGACCCGTGACGAGTTATCAAAAATTAAACCAGACATTATACAGCGTGTGTAAATAAAAACTAAAAAACCATTATTATTTTAAACGCACCTACCTTCGTGATAAATTTGAAAAAATAAATAAAAGTTAGAGTTTAAGTTAATACAACTATAGAAACATTAATTAATATTAATGACCTATACTTTACTATGCATTATTTAAATTTTTTAACGATTCTTATCCTAGTAGGTATAATCCAATAGCACTTTGCTAAACGATTTTTGATGCATTAATTAAATTAGTGTCTAATTACCAAACATTATAATCTTACCTGATTGCTATTACAAATACCTCTAGCACACTAATTTTCACAAAATTTGAGACTTGGTCTCATATATTAGAGGCAAACTTCACGTACCGAGACACATAAAGTAACTGAAACACCTCAATTGGTTTTTCTGTATTTTATAATAATAATTGCTGTGACGTCTAGGTATTTACTAATTACCAATAATTTAATAAGACAAAAACACTTTGTAAAAATGTTGGGATAATACCCTCTTTTCATTTATCAAAAATACATTAAAATTTAGGACATTGGAATTATTGATAAGGGGTCCAATAATCAGCTATCTTGAGGATTTTTGTGAAGAGAAAGGTAAATATCCTAAGTTCTTTTTCAAATTTTATTTATTTAGGTATAACAATTTGATAGGTAGACCATTTAAACAAATCGTCGCGTGATATTATGACACGAATAGGAACAATCGCAGGATATTGATTTATTTTAACATAATTACCCCCCCGCTTCATCAAACTTTTGATTTAAGTATTTACACTCTTTATCTAAAAATGGTTAATTGAAATCACAAGACGTATTTCCTCGTAATATGAATGATTTCAACAAATTAATTCGATTAAAGTGGTTTATCTCTACTAGAAGAGCATCAACATTACTTAAGTCCACTGAACTCTGGAACAGGTCGCTACTACGACTGCTATTTTATAACCATGTGATTTATACTACTTGAATATTTAAGTTTTATGTTGGATTTTTGATGTTTTATACAACAAAAACTGCCAGTTACCGTTCTAGATTTCCAGAATATCGTAATTTGAGCATAAAGTCTTGAATGGGGGACTATTTTGTAGGTACTAGTAAAGTAAAGGACCGGTTATATTCATATTTAAGTAAACTTGACTTGCTGGTAACTATTTACAAGATAATCTCACGCGTAAGTGTACTCCACCAGTGTCACCTTGTTTCTCAAAATTCCCTTAACCTTCCCTGTTAGTATGAATCTAATCCCATGTACAATTTTTGAATAATTGTCATCTGATTATATGTATGTTAGCAAACAGGAAAATCGAAATTACCTAACCTAACCGAAAACACCTAACTAACCGAAATTACCTAACTAACCGAAAACACCTCACGTGTGTTAAAGGATAGCCGAGCCCTGCTGTCATCGAGCCCTGCTGTCACGGCAAAAAGTAAAAGTCAATAGCTGGCCGTACCGATTATTGCTTAGCAACTTTATTTTATTTACGGGCTATTGTTTTGTAGTAAAAAAAAATAGTATTATTATCTGTGCAATAAAGTTAATAAAGTTATTATCAGAAGTGGGATCGACTCTTGTCCATTGGATTGCTCGTCGGAAGTTCAAAAGTGATTTTTCCCCCAGACGGGTCCGAAAAATAAAAAGAAAAAAATGGCAGAAGAAGGCGAAATCGTTAGTGATTGTGAAAACAGTGATTTTGAGCAGACAAAAACTCTGCCATTTGGTAAAAAGCGTCCTAGGGTTCAGTGGCAGGAAACACTCGTCAACTTAGTGGCCAACCAGCAGAAACAAATTGCTTTATTAACAAGTCAAACAAAGAGCGTGGCGTCCACCGTTGCAGCCAACGCCTAGTGACTCAGGAATGGAGACCTCGAAATTCACAAGTGCCTTCTTTTGAGATCACGAGCTACGACCCTGATAAAAGTTCTTACCCAATCAATGAATGGCTTGAAGATTGTTCAAAATTAAAGAAAGAAACTCAAAGTCAGCGATATTTTAATGATCAGCAAAGCTGGCAATGCTTTGAAGCATCGGGGATACCATTATTATCGTGATTGGAGGCCCCTTTCAAGGACATGGGACAATTTCTGCAATGATCTTCTTGTTAGCATTTCCTGATCGTGAAACCCCTGGCACCCGTGCACATATCGCTGCAACCCTAAGTAGCCGAGACTATGAATCATTATCTGATTATGGTAACCAAAAACTACGTTCAATTAACAGGTTTTATAATCAGCTACCATGGAATATTATTCTTAGCATGGTTGAGTATGGATTGGAACACACCGAAGCCCGTTCCGCAATCCGTGTGCAAAAGCCAACATCCGAACGTGACTTATTAGTATTGCTCAGCGAGTTTGATGCCCGCCGTGCAAGATCGCTCAAGAATAGCGCCGAAAAACGAGGGGAACGAAGGATAAAAGAAAGATACGATCCAAAGGTCGTGCGTTTTGAACCATCGACTAGTAAATGCTTCAAATGCGGCCGGCTTGGACACCATCAAAGCAAATGCCGATTGGTCCAGAATCAGAAAAGTGCAGAGCCCATTGAATCATTTCTTAAGAGTGCATCAACCCCTACCAACGACAAGGCAAATGTTCTGTGTGTGATTTCTGTAAGAAAATGGGTCACACTGACGTCAACTGTTGGCTGAAGCATGGGAAGCCTAAAAAAGCGTTGTTGATGAGGAAATGACGCCATCTGTCAACAACACCGATAGCCTCCGTTTTATGCGAAGAAAAAGCGCTTTCATTCACGTATCTCATCGACACAGGTGCTGAGCGGTCAATTATAAAACATTCCGTAGTTCTTGCCCTGGACGGTAAAATAAAACCAAATCGTGACGTATGTGCTTTCGTAGGATTCGGAAACCAAATCATTTATCCAGTCGGTGTTTGTGAGTTGATATTTGTTTTGTCTACAATAACATTAGAGATTAACTTTGCCGTGGTACCAGATAAAGTGATTCCGGGCGAGTTGGACATTATTATTGGCTGGGACATTATAAGTCGGCCTTTTGTGCAGATAGTGAAAGACAGTACCGGACTTGAGTTACAATATCAACTGTGCCCGATTCAAAAAGTTCTCGTTGGACAGTGTGCACCTGAAATTAAAGTTAATCTACCTAATTTAGGTACTGACTTAAAGTTGTATGTACAAAAGCTGTTGGTGAAATATAGGGCTAAAACGCCTGATCATATTTTAACTGGAAAAATGACAATCACTTTGAAAGACAGTACTCCAGTGGTATATCGTCCTCGCCGATTAGCATACCAGGAGCGTATTTAAGTCGCGAATATTATAAGTGAACTTTTAAAGGACAAAATAATTCGCGAAAGTCACTCAGAATATGCGAGCCCTATAGTGTTGGTAACGAAAAAAAATGGCCAACCGAGAATGTGCGTGGATTATCGTGATCTAAACAAAAAAGTGGTTAAGGAAAGATATCCCTTGCCACTTATACAGGACCAACTTAATGCCTTATGCCATGCAAGATACTTCACAACCTTAGATATGAGATCCGGCTTCCACCAAATGGAAATTGATGAGTCTTCCAGGCATATTACAGCTTTTGTAACGCCAGATGGACTATACGAGTGGAACAGAGTGCCATTTGGTTACGTTAATTCACCAAGTACTTATCAACGAGCTATTGACAAGGCATTAGGAAATCTAAAAGGCAAAAAGGCTTTTATTTACTTAGATGATGTATTGGTGCCATCGTCTACTATTTCAGAGGGACTGCAAAACTTGGAAGAAGTGCTAGATGCTCTAGCTACCTCAGGGTTTTCTTTGAATTATGACAAGTGTGTTTTCTTTGCCCAAGAGACAGAATATTTGGGAGTGAAACTGAGTCAAGGAAGAGTACGTCCGAGTACACGAAAAGTCCATGCATTAACACAAACCATTGCCCCTATAAATGTGAAAGGTGTCCGGCAATTTTTGGGGTTGGCAGGATATTTTCGCCGCTTCATCAAGGGTTTTTCTCAAGTGACAGCACCAATAACATCCTTGTTAAAAAAAGATCAGCCGTTCAAATGGACACCTGAATGTGAGTCAGCAAGGCAATTCCTCATCAAGAAGCTAACTGATTCACCTGTGTTGCGTCTATATGACCCTGAGTTGCACTGTGAACTCCATACTGATGCCAGTTCTATAGGCCTAGGAGGTGCTCTGTTCCAAAAGGAGAATGGCATTCTACAGCCTGTTGCATATTACAGCAGACGCACTACCGCCTGTGAAGCCCGCTATCATTCATATGATCTAGAAACACTGGCAATTGTCGAAGCAGTAGAACATTTCCGAGTTTACCTGTAAGAAAACATTTTACAGTGTTCACTGATTGCAATTCGGTGCGAGCCACCGCCTTAAAGAAGAATTTACACCCTCGTGTCGCGCGGTGGTGGGTGAAACTCCAAGACTATGACTTTTCCATAGAGTACCGCCCTGGACATAAAATGCAACACATAGACTATTTAAGCCGAAATCCAGTGGATGATGATTCAAACGAGTTAAAAGTGTTGGCATTAAAGACGATAAACATAAACAAAATTGCCAATAAGGATACACTTCGAGAGTTTCAGCAAAGTGATACTTTTTGTAAACAAATATTTGATAATCCGGACTGTGACCCTGACCTTACTGTTGAGAAGAACATGATCGTAACCAAAACAAAACCTCAAAAATATTTTGTGCCCGTTGCAGCGCGATTGCTTACTATGACTCTATACCACGATGAGTCGTCACATCTCGGATGGGACAAGTGTATTCAGAAAATACGTGAAGATTTATATTGGCCGAAAATGGGTAAATGCCTTAAAAAGTACATCAACCATTGTAGAGCTTGCACATTGGGAAAATCACATACAGGACCCCGACGTGGATTTTGCCAACAAGGAAAAAAACCAGATGCTATCTTAGAAACCTGGCATATAGATCATGCTGGCCCGTTGGTGAACTCCAATGGATGCACGCAAATCCTTGTCATTATTGATGCCTTTTCAAAACTATGTAGACTCCAGTCAATTCCGAGGAAAACATCTGAATGCTCTATTCAGGCGCTGTTGCCGGTTTTTGAAGAATTGGGCAGGCCCAAACGGATAGTGGCGGATAGGGCCGCTGCTTTTACTTCCACTATATTTCAAAACTTCATGAGTGAACAGAAAGTTGAATTACATCATATTGCAACTGGTGTACCCAGAGGCAATGCCCAGGTAGAACGCCTTATGCGAACCATGTTTAATCTGTTGCGAGCTACTCTGACTCACGAAAAAGAAATTGATTGGACGATTGCCCTACCAGCCATCGAGGACAATTTGAATGTTACGGTTCACTCGGTAACTGGCTACTCACCTGCTGTGTTGCATTTTGGCACAAACCCAAGGTTAGCAGCAACCCGGAAATTCTTAGGCGAACCACCAAATGATTCGTTGGTTGATCCAGAAGAAGCCATCGCAATAGCACAACAACGTGTGAAAAAAATTGGTGACCGTCAAGCTCAACGATTTAATGAAACCCGGCGTCGGGCCACCTTGTTTAAGCCAGGTGATGTCGTAGCCATTGAAGATTCACAATTCGCTGGCGGAGGAAAACTGAAGCCAAGATACAAGGGTCCTTACACTATTCAAAAGATCTTACCTCATCAAAGATATCAACTACACAAAAAGGGACAACGAACGACGGTAGCCGCACATGACCAATTAAGGCCATGGTCATCGCAGTAATTATAAAAAGGTGAGTAGCAATCCTACATTACCTATTAAGTTCCTAAGTACCTATTCAAAACTAATTGTGTTTTGGTGGCGATCCCATCAATATCTGAAAAGCTTACTTTAATACTCCATTCTCCATATTTAGTGTAA